AAAGTTGCTCCATGCTTCATCCCTTGCAGGTTATCTTTGGAGGAACAATATCCCCATAATTTCTGCTGACAATTAACCTTGCCTGTGCAGCAATTCTTCTCTGGGTCACCAGAGCAGCTATTTATACCCTTGGCCAGGGATGCTGTTGCCACTGAATGACTGCCCTTCCCCTTGGCCAACCCCAGAGCCAGCCCTGTACCAAGGCTGCGGGCAGCAAGCCCTGGGGTGTCCCCCCATGCACCCTTCCCCTCTCACCAGGACCTGCTTCACTTGGACCTTTATAGTCTAGACCCTCCACCATCCATTTTTTGCACACACTTTGCAAACACAATTAAAAAAAGACATACGTGTTGCTTAAACACACACATGCATGCAAGTGCAGGGCAGCAGGGTCCATCAGACTAATTCCACAGGGTTGGGATGTTTGGGGTTTATGGTCTCCAGGACCTCCGATTAGCCGGTCTCCAAAGGACTTGGGCAGAAATAGGATTTGCCTCAAGTCACCTCTCTGCAATATGTGGGTAATGCTGATTCCCCCGTACTCTTCAGCACGAGAGAGGCTGATGGCTCACCTGAGTACCTGCACAGTATTTCTTCTGAGCAAAAATCAGCTTTAGTTGTGCAGCCAATGCCAGGAACCGGAACATAGACCTGAAAACAAAACTTCAGGCCTGGGCTGCTACCAGCTGGACCATTTGCCCACGCAGAGCAGGATTTCAGAGGCCAAGTCAAGCCTGTCCTGAGCTGGAGCCCAACAGCAGGGGCTGGGGCAGCTTCTCCTCCCAAAGCAGGGAGCACAGGCCAGCCCAGTCCCACCAGTGCCAGAGAAACACATTGAACCAGATCTGCCAAAACCAGTTATCTTCACGGAGGAAACAAAGAGCCTTGCTCCCATGAGAAGCCATCCTGGGGAAAGATCAACACCTTCGGGTGCTGGCCTTCAGACTAGTCCCATCAGTTTGCAAGCAAACACCACAAGTCTTGCACAGTCCTGCAATATCTGTGCTCCCCATCTCCCGCATCCTGCCACTGCTGCAGGGTAAAGGTGGGCCCAGAGCTGGGCTGAAAACTGAACCCATCACCAATTCCGAGAGCAGCAGGCAGGGGAACAGCCCAGGGCAGGCTGGGGTCTGGCAGGGGTGAGGGTGGGGGACGGTCCAGCCTCCAGGATGCAGGGAAATAAATGGCCAATGTTGTCAACATTATCAGCGGCGCCCAACCTTCATGCTGAACGGCAAGGAGGAAGAGCTTCGCCTGGCCCTGGAAGGAAGGTGAGAGATAGGGAGGGCGGCACCGCTGCGACGGGGAGAGGTGGGAGGAGAAGATCTGCCGAGCGCTTGCCACTGTCAGCCCCCTCCTTGAAGACCCCTTACCCTGTGAGCTTTACCTCCAACATCTCATCCCTGCTTCTGTCCCCAGCGCGGTGCCAAGCAGGGGGCTTGTACCTGAGTTAACCATCAGAAAGTGGGGATTGAGAACATGCCCAGGGCCTCCTGGAGGAACTCTGGGACCTGTCAGAAGCAGCTTTTGAAGTGATATATTTCTCACCAGGGTTAAGGGGGATGAGGCCCATTAGTCAGGAGGGACCGAAGCACGCTTCCTGCCACCTTGGCCTCTCCCTCTGGCAAACCCAGGAGCATTAGGTCCAATTAGCCCCTGGCAAACACCTCAGGGGTGGGTCCCTCCGCAGCATCCCCAGACAGGCCCAGGAGAGCAGTACTTCCTAGAAAATCAGCACTAATGACTCACCGTGGCTAAATGGCATTATTTAAAGCAGCAGAGAAGGTTTCCAGGCTCCCACCATGCATTTTCCAAACTGGAGATCAGAAAGTCAGCAGTAACCTCTGGCCCCTGAGCACAGCACTGAGCAGGTCCTGCAGTGACTGGCCCCATCTGTCCCCAGGGAAACTGGTCAGGCCCCTTAGTGTGGGGGCAAGATCCAGCGCTTGCACTGATTTTCAGTACTTCCCTTGCCAGGCACCATCTCACAGGGATGCACAAACCCTGGGAGAGCCTGATGCAGGGGAAAAGAGGTCTTGGCATCCACCACAAGAAGCCAGGGAGCCCAGGGAGGTGATGGAAGGGGACCCAGGCCAGCACAGAGCTGCTGCCAACTGACCCACAGTGAGTGCTCTAACCTCTATCCAGAGCCTTCCCAGAGGTTTTCTAGTACCTTTCTAGATCATCTCTGGAGGACTTCTGAGCCTCAGGCAGTTGCAGAGTGGCATCCTCAGCAGCCTGACTGGAACTGAAGAAATATGTAGGGTTTAGAAAAAAATCCCATATATTGGATCATTCTATAAAGGACACACCTTTTTGTACCACAAACTCTCATAAACTCACCATGAGAGGACCTCTTGTCGTTGTGCTGCCTAGACTCTTTTAGGCTGTGCCCTCTGAAGCAAAACCAGCCTGAGCTAGACGCACGTCTGACCGAGGCACAGGACCAGCATCCTTGCGTGGATGGCCTTCTCTCCAGACAGAGGTGCAAAAAGGCTGAAACCCCTGGGAGACACTTACCATGCGTACCCCAGCCAAGAGAGGAGCCACTTCTCAATTGTCAGCCCTCCAGCTAAAGGCTAATTTGCCCTTGCTAGAAAATACTCCTCATGGTTGATCCTCCCCCCAAGCACCATCCCACTGAACTGCCCCTTCCTGCTCAGCTCACAGCAACTCAAACTTGTGCTGCAGCCATCACCTCTCCTCTTTCACACCACTAATCTGTTTGCTTCGCCCTTTAACCAGCAGCCACCTTTCACGATGCTCCTCCAGCTCCTCTTTCTCCTCCTTGGACTCCTGTCCAGGACATTCTCCCAAGCAGGAAAACATGGAGCAACTGGAGGGGAAAGCCAGGACAGCAGATGCTTTTCTGTGTGCATTCTCCCTGTGGCATCAATCCTAAACTATGATGTTCCCACCTGTGTTTACACAGTGGAGACAAACAGTGAGCAGAGCTAGGGAAGCAAGGACAGGCCAATGCCCACATGTCCCTCCTGGTGTCCCCAGCCTGGCACACATGTGCTTTTTCTTCCACAACCAGCAAAAGCTCTTCTAAAAAATCTGACTGCCCGAGTGTAACCTTACCATGTGGCCCCAGATTAGCAGCTCAAAAATCAGTTCGGGGCTATCTGAGGTTTTTACATTTGCTTGTGCCAAGGGAGGTCCGGGAAACATGACCACCAGAGGCAGGAGTGGTCTTACAGGAACAAGAAAATCATTTAGCACAAGAATCAAGTCTCCTGGATGGTGCCCCAGGCAGTACATGGCTCAGTTGGGAACTGCTCAGTGGGTACAGATTTACACAGCCACACTGAGAGCCAAACCTGTAGCAAGCGCCAGGAATACACTGGCTCCCCTGAAACGTCCATTATAGTATGGAAGGCTCAGCAAAAAGTCCTCTGAATAGAAGCAGACTGTTCACACCTCGGCCAAGGCACCAATATAGGACTTAGGTCCTTCTGAACCAGCTATTCCCAGCATTTCTACTCAGACTCTAGAAATCTCCCAGCACATCTGGCTGTCCAGCAGGTTGCTGAATTACCTGAAGTGAATTCCACCCCCCAACTCCTCCAATGTCCCCCGCTCTACACAGCATTTTTTAAGATGACACAAGGCATTACTAACAAATTACCTGAATAACACTACATGCCACACTGGTTGGCATCAGCAGAAGATGCAGGAGTAAGGAATACCAGTACCGATTCAAAGGGAAGGGATTCCAAGCACCAGAAAGACTCACACAACATACATTTGTCCAGCTTCGGTTTCTTGCACCACAATACCAGGTCTCACTTTGAATGAGCATGAGATCGGGGCAGCAATTCCCTCTTTGTTTCCAGTTTTGCTGACAGTAACGTTGCCTGTAGCCATTTCAGGTTCATTCTTGGCTCTGTTCCATGGGAGAACAGATGTGGGTCACGCTGAGAACTGCGAGCTCTGACCAGCACCCTTACTGAGACAGCATTTCAACTTCAGGGACTTCTGACTGAAGCCTAGGACTCAAAATTGGCTGAGAGTCCCATACCTCTGTTCTGTATTGCTTAAGCTTTACAGAGAACAAAGACAGACTATTCTGCTGCTATAGAAGTTAACGTTCACCAAAATAAACCATCTGCTGGAATAGCTCCCAGGCACTACATGCAAGATTTGTCTTCCATTATTACTGATGCACAAGAGCTATTGGTATGTTTGCATGGAGCAAAATAGTCCTGACATACATACAATAAAAACCTCATTCTGTTTAAGTGCTGTTTCAAATGATGGAGCTTCGCCCAGCATTTGGCTTACAGCTGGCCAGGGCTGCAGTCTCTGGCTCACCGGTTACGCACCCTTTGAAGCATTACAGCCCAACAGGTGAAGGGCCGGCTGGACAGTGAACGGTGGAGCAGCATTCCTTCCTTCTGACTGCTGCTCATTCCATACCCTTGACTGTAAATGCCTGCTTGGCTAATGATGCACATCAGTGTAACAACTTGCATGTCTGGATTCACCCCATCTAGGCCTGTAATGTATTTCTAGCCGCCCGCTCACACCAGCTCTTATGCTCATATTTGGTCAAAGCACACAGGGAAAAAAAAAGGGATTCTGTGAAACAAAGAGAAACATGCCCTCATTTCCCCATCACTAACACCCAGAGCCCCTCTGTCAGCCCTACACTGTCACACAGATACCAGGATGAGCAAGGGGGAAGATCAGTGCACAGTCAGTATCACAGAGGTAATTTGGAAGCAGATCTCATGTGGACAGCTGCTGGCAGGTAGAGATCTGCCCTCTCTGTGGCATCAGTGCTACGGCTGGGCCAGATTGGAGTTGGTGACTTTGCTGAGCCTAAAGGAGTGCTAGAGAAAGCAGAGATGTGCACAGATGCCAACGACTCGACACAGGAGCAGAGTCAGTCAAGCTTTGCTGGAGGAAGATGCACGACTTTGGTCTAGTTTTTAACACTTGGGGTGAGCAGAAAAGAAGGTTGCTAGGCTTCCTTTTTTTTTTAAAGCAGCAGGTTTTCTGTCAAGAGTTTTTAATATATTTATTTGAAAACAAAGTTTTGTGAAAGAGTACACTAAATAGCATATATCTGTTCTTCAGCCATAAAACACGGACTATCAGCTTTAGCTCAGCACAGATTGGGGCTGCATGCACTGAACAGCAGATCTTGATAGGAAGGTCTTCATGTCTGTCTTTCTGATATCAAGCATAGTGTCTTCTTTAGAGGACATGATCCTGGAAGAGGGGGAGAGAGAAACCAGAAAAGCAAACGTATTTAACTAAGGCTTCTTGTGGTTGGCCCCACACACTCACCCAAGCCTGCCACTGACGCAACATTTATAGTTTTCAGCAAGGAGTTTGTTTTCCTGCCCATCCACCAATTCAAGTGCATAATGTTTGCTCTTGGAGCACTGGAACATGCCAGTCCATATTTGGAAATAAAGCAACTGGGTTTCTGCCTCTTAGTGAGAACTTGCACATCAGTTCAGGCACTTAAACCAAGGAACCTGAGAACCACACCATTCGTTGCCTGGAACAGATCTACAAGTATCGTTATGTCAGGCTCAGAGAGCACCACAGAGCCCGTAACTGGAGTGTCTTTAAATTCTGCTAAGAACTGCTGGAAAGACAAGACAACCCCAGAAAGCAGAGTAGGAGTTGTCTTTCGACCAATCCTGCCACACTGAGGTCAAGTAGATGACAGCTTTGTAACATAAACCACTTGCCCCTCTGGGACCATCTTTCATGAGCTGATTCTTCCCAGCTCAGCTGTTGCCTGTGACCTCATGCACTGCTCTAACCCTGCTCAGCGGGGCTCTACTCAAGAGTAGCCAAGCCTGCGAGATTAAAGACCAGATCCAGTATGACAAGGTCAGGCCTGATCCGGAAGAGTGGACTTTTATTGCTGCCACACTCTTCACATCGGGACAGAGCATGTTTCTGAATCTAGCACAGAGGCCATCGAAGAGCTAAAACAAGCGTGCTGGGTGCTGGTAACTCCTTCAGTTGATCCAAGGAGGTTTTTCCTTCATTGAGATTAATAAAGGTGACTGCACACTACACTGTACCTCAGGTCTTAATCATCAATGTACTCAAAGGGCTCTGGTGGTTCAGGTTCCTGCTCTTCTTCCTCAATCTTCGGACCGTGAGCTGCCACAGGTTCAACCAGCTCCTCCATATCCTCACTGGTGTCCTTCAGAATGATGATGCCTCCGATGGAAAGCTGCAAGACAAGTGCAGTAAGCATTAACAGCTGCTTGCCTCTGCCTTGTGGCAGACTGTTTGTGGCCACAGTGTTCATCCTTAATGGGTTTCAGAGAGCAAAGCATCTGACACTCACCCAGATCCCTGCCTGGTAAGGGGATGGAACAGACAGAGCCTGTCCAGGCTACTTTTTGTATTTCCACTAAGTCTCAGTTCAATAGAAAAATGGCATCTGGATTCACAGCTTTACCCCAGTCGCAGGCTGGGGCTTTCCACATGAAAACTAATTAAACCATAATTGCTTTATAAGGCTCATCTTTTCAGGGCAACAAAGCTTAGTGAAGCCTCTCTGTGTAGCCGCCTCCCAGGAGGCTATCCGAAACAGAGACTAATCTGATCACCAGCTTCCACGAACGGAGGAATCTTATTAGCAGAACCTCGTAAAAACAAAGGGGAATTAATTACAAAGATCACAACCAAACATCCTGGCAGGCTGAAGCAAATCTGTGCGTCCCCAGGACTGAAACACAAGGTGTGAAGAGACAGTGCTGTGTCATACCTGGCTGGGATCAGGGCTTTGACCACAGCAGGATTCCAGGCTATAAACAGCATTTCAAAGAGGCCTTTTACTCTGGCATTCCCCAAAGCAGAGCAAAGGTCCAGAACAGCTCCGTTTCGAGAACCTCCTTGGTTCCACACCCTAATCCCAGCAAAAAACTGCACTGTTCTGTTCTCTGCAAAACCTGTTTATGGGGGTTTAAGGCAGGAAACTGCACTCCCCTCACCAAGGACTCAGCTTCTTTTGAAACTGAAGCAAACTGCTACATACGTCCACATTTCAGCTGCATGAGTGAACACTTACTGGACCACATAGCAGATTTCCCAATCCAAACACCAGTTTGGTCCCCTCCTCTTTTAAAGGGTAGAAACTAAAAAATCCTTCCACAGCTTTGCTAAATGAGACGTTTCAAAAGGGGACAAATGCACAGAGAATTCCAATGTGCTGATGGAGTTCCAGGAAATCCATTTATTAAAAACATGACTATTTTCCTGGAAAAAATATTACTTCTTCTGAACACCATTTTCCCATGCATAATCCTGCAAAAGGGGGAAGTCAAGGGTGTTTTCTTGAACAAAAATAAAGGCCAGAAGAATTTGACTCAGGAGACTTAGAGGTCAAGAGCAAGCTTATTAACTTTGCAATATACTTGAGCATTTCACAGAAAAGTTAGTTACCTCCTGAGCTTAATGCTGAAAGATTTTTTCATTCTCCATTTGACAATCACATGCTAAGTCTTCTCTATGTTAACAGCAGATGAAGGCACTTTTCTAAGGTCAGATGTAACTGAATAGGAAATGTTTAATGAAAAAAAAAAATCCCTCCATTTAGGTATAAATCCCACCGCAGCATAATAAAGCTCCAGCACAAGCCCTAATGTATTTCACTGCTTTGACAATGAGCCTGTACAACTTCTTAGCCCACTGTAAAGATCGTGGCTCAGTCTTTATGTCCCCAGCAATGTCATTAATACACAGAGTATGTCTGATTTGTTTCCATGTTGCAGTGTTTGACATTATGTAGAAGAAGAAAGAAAAATAAAGCAGCATTAGCATGGTGAAAAGGTTTGCAGCAGCTCTGGCTTTCCTCCAACTAGAACTGCATATGATCTTTTGGAGAGAGGGACATTAAAAAGCAAATATGACAACAGTGAAGTTGCAAATCTCTTTAACACATTACAGTGATGTTTGAGCAGCATTCTCCTGTACACACAGAACTTCTGGGTCCTCATGCACAAGCCCAGCAGTGGGAACGCTCTGTCAAACACATGGACTAGGAAGGTGACACTCACTGGTTTGAAAGGCTGGTATCGGCAGCTCTCTGTCATAGTGAGAACTTTGAGCTGAGCAGGCATAACTCTGGCTGGGTTGTCCAGAAGCTGGAAGTTGGGTTCAGGCTCTTTTTTCTTTTCTTTTTCATCCTTCTTTTCAGTCTCATCCTGTGGAGGAGGAGGGAGAACATCAACATGATTTTAACAGTAATCTCTAACTCTTTCACAGTTCAGGAGGGTAAGGTACAACCAGGGAGCAATTCTTCTGCTGAGGAACAAGCTAACACATATCTATCAGCTGGCACAGGCATTGCCAACATGGATCTAAGTGTTCTCATCAAGGCAATGTCTCACTCTCAACTGTAGGTGAAAGTTCAACGAGAGGCAGTACTGGAACTGTTTACCTCTGGCTTCCCTTTCTAATACTTTTTCTGTAAACTCACTCACCGCTTTTTGTTCACAACTGAAGATTCTTTGATATCGTTACTGAGCATATGAAAATTGCCAAAAGCTGTCCTTGTACTTCCGCAGCTATAAAGCTGTCACAGACATTTCACACTACTGGTAGTGACAGCAGCTCAACCAAAACGACTCGACCTCAGATGCTCCCTAGGGAATTGCAGTTAAGCCTGCCTTTACAGATGACTCAGAAACTAGAAGCAAAAGCTCAGAAGAGAAAAACACAGCATCCTTTACATACTTAAGAACATAGATCATGCTCTCCCTCTTGCTCAGGAACATCTGAATTGCAAACAAAAAAGATTGCAGAAAAGATGGAAACAAACAATAGGAAATGATCAGCAACACCACTGAAGGCATGGCACGTCCTGTAACAGCCGACAGGACTTTCTCTGGCATGGTGACTGCTCGTTGCTGTGCAGATCTCTTGGAAGCTTTGGATTACTAGTCATATAACAGGCATAAGAGAAAAACAGGAAAGCAATTATACCTCTAAAACACTAGGACAATGGCAAAACATTAAAACACAGCAGGTGGCAGCAAGCTCCCTTTTTACTATCCTGGTTTCTCTGCTCGATTCAGCCAAGAAAACTCTTCAGACATCTGGAGTGTACACACACACAGACACGACACATGAATCTCTTCTGATATATTGCTTCCTCTCAACACCTGCACTTCACTGTAGGTTGTAGCAATTTTAGAAGAAACATGCATCTGTTCAGCATGTTTTGCTTAGTATATAGAGTTCTAAGAATAATTCAAAGAAAAGGCAATGTTTGGTGACAAGGAAACTTTGATAAAGGAGCAAAAAGACAAAACCCAGAGATTCTACCTTATACACAGGAGATAATTCATTTTCTGGGCCAACTGGTTAAAGTTCAGTGCCTACAACATGGCCACACTTAGGTAGGTCTAGGAAGGTTATTTCACACATACAGCTTTGACCTTACACCACACTTCCTTCACCTATCATTTGTATGTTTCTTTTTAAAATTAAAGAGGCCAAAAATTCCCTGACCATGCTGCTTTTCTCACATGGATGTTAAAAATTGAATCAGAAGGTTTCTACTGAACTTGTCAGCATAACACATTTTCAGCTTACAGTTGTTCTTGGCATATTTGCATCCGTTAGCAGAGCACGAAAGGAAGGGTCTTTTGTCAGGGTACAGTAAGAATTTCAGCTGCCATATGTTTTCCAAATTACAGCAACCACCAAGAATCTATTATACAGCCATATCTCTATCCCTCAGCTTGCTCCAGGATGACAACATTATTCATAGATGAGGATGACAAGTTCCAGTGTCAGGTCTATGAGCTGAAAGTAATGATCAGAGGACCAAAGCAATCACCATAACTACTGAGCAGCATATGGATCCTGTGCTCAGGGCTCAGCTGGTTGCGAGATGGGTATGGATAGATGTTTGGCATTTGGATAGATGGGCAAAGCACATAAGAGATTGCTGCCAAAAAGGTGAACACTTCAGAATAGGGGGTTAAGGATATGCAAAACCAGGAAGTTTAAACTCTTCAGTGCTCTCAACTGCATGAGACACCACCAAGTGACTGCTACAATATTGAGTTCTTTTTAAAAGGTCAGAGGTACCAAGGACATGAAATTATTATGACTTTTTCCACATTAATAAGAAAAGTACACAGATAAGAGATTAAAGTCTCTTGGTCTAGAAACAGCAGGCAATAAAATAAAGCACAAAAGGGTCACGTAGTTAAAGACACAAATTTGTCAAAACAAGCTTCTGCCTTTAAGGAAGTCAGTTATTTAACAGCATTGAGGAAGATTTATTTCGCAGAAATAATGGATTCACAAATAATACTACCTCTTGCTTTTAACAGTGTGCATACATGCACTGAGTAAAGATGCTAACCAGAGTATGCAGAACACTGCAACGTGTGTTAATACTTTGCTCAGAACTAACACAGGTGGCAGTAGGGACAGCATTATGTAGGTGCCAGCTTTCATGATATACCTTCCACATTTATAAGGGCGTGAAGACATTTAAGTTTCAATGTTTGCACCCACCACTTCCATCTTCTCCTCTTCCTTCTTCTCTTTCTCCTTCTCCTTTTCCTTCTTCTTGGCTTTTGCAGTGATGGACAGCACAGCAGTGGAAACCTGGATATGTCAACAGAGGAGGCATTCAGCATGGCTGCAACACTGTACGCTGTGCTTCAGTTCCCCAGGCAGGGGAACAGAGGGAAATCAGTGTTAGGTCAGTTCTCAGTGCAGGTGTCAATAAGAGCAATTCCACTTCCTACCCACTGCTCTGTTTAAGAGACAAATACACCACCGTCAAAACAAATAAATGGCACAGATGGGACAGAAGAATGCCCTGAATATGCAGGACAGCAAACTTCGTAATTGAGAGATTAACATCTGGGTCTCTATATGAGAGATTGGTTTGTTTATTTTTAACAGAGCAACAAATGGAATTCTTGTTACAGGAAACCTGTTGCCAGAGTCTCCAAGGTAAAGAAACATGTATACAGATACTCCTTAGAATTACCTAAAGCTGTTCCACTGTCCTAATCAGACAGCTGTGTTTCTTATTGATGTAAAAAAGCGGATATTCTCCTCCCTCTGGAGAAGACTTCAGGAGGCTTTGGCACTCCTGAGCCAGAAAGTACCCAGAAGCAACACTTGAATACAAAAATTCAGCATGTCTCCCTTCCAGTAAGCACATCTCACTATTCATATTAACTGTCCCTGTAAGGCAGCAACTTGCTCAGAGGGACAGGGAACAACTGCATTTGTCACACTCCTGGTGAGACTTTCTAGGCTACATGTGGGCTCATGGCTTGTTTTAATTTTGGCCAGGGAAGTTGAAAAGAGGAAAGATTTGTCCAATTCCCATCTTATTGCAAAGGCGAGAGAGCAGCTGCCTTTCATCAGAGTTCATTTCTGGGTTCCTCGGTGGCTCAGAAATCTGTCCTCTACAGCATTCAATTCTGGTAAAATGTTTTACAGTTTTCGCACAACGTCATTCATCAGCATGGCATGCCTGAGGTCTCCACTGCTGCAATTGCTCCCTAAGGGCTGCTCTGCCTGCTGCTGTGGCCTGCTCAATGGCTTTTACCATCTTATGCCAGGAGACAAATTGTTTTTACTATTGTCCCGCTTGTCATCCCATAGGTCTCATCTCTTCCTTTTCAATACCTAGGTATTCTCAGTTCCACACGGGCAATCCATGGGCCTGACAGCTATTATTCTAGCACATGGTCCCACTGCCCTGAGACCAGGTACACTTCTGTCCTTCCGTATGGGACTATTTGAGAAGCATCTCACCTAATATTCTCAACGTTTGTACTGCAGTAGCACTTTGGATCCCAAGGCACGGACAAGGACCCTGCTGTGCTAGGTGCTGCACAAAGGTGATATACGTGCATGCAAATCAGTAGGGCATGGAAAGCAGTTTTATTAATCAATGCTTCTGCTTGACCACTGGAAACAAGGGAGGTTCCAGAAACTCAGTAGCACAGCACTTGTATGCCATGACCAGCTACAGTCCCAGACACAGCAGGAAAAAATAGCTAGAATTCTCTTTCAGAGACAATAGCGCCTGCCAATTTTTCTTCTGCTCTTTAGATTCCCGGTTAGTGCCACCAAAGTCAATGTTTATACTAGGAGGGAGAAGGGGTTAGTCTTTACAACGCAGAAAGCTAGCCCAAATACCTTTTCTTTCTCCTTTTCCTTTGGTACCTCAAGAGGCGGGGGGTAGGCAAATGTGGACGGCTTACAGTTGGACTTGTACTGGACTTTTGGCATCTAAGACAAACAGTTAAAAGAATTGTTAGAGAGAAGAAAAGCAGGGGGGAACAAACCACAGCAGAGTAATTACTTTAGCTTCATTTTCCTTCCAGCAGAGACAAATGCAGATCCTCTAAAGAATACAAGCTTCCCTTTCTCCCCCTCCGGAAGCTAAGAAACTGTTATCAGTGGCAACAGTTCAACTAGAACAATGTTATTTAATTATTTTATAATTCGACTCTGGCAAGCTCTCCTAGCCTTCTCCATACAGTCCACGCTATTCACACCATGCTTTGTTTTCATTGCTTAAAAGCTTTTGTGGTTTTGATGTTGCTGTGCCTGCTCGCATTAACACAAAATTGGTTTAATCTAAGTGAAGATCTGGTCTGTCAAGGCACGCTAGGGCAAACCAAGCACTGCCTGACATTCACCTCTTGCAAAGGACCGTACATTTTGGGGGTGGGTTACCAATGTCACATATTCTCTTACTCTTGTCTACTTAAGCAAGGGCAGAAAGCATCTTTTGACAGCCAATCCAAATTCTTAAACTGAATTAATTCCTGCAGTATCTCAACTCTCTTCCTTTATGACACACCACGGAGCAACAAAAGAACAGGGACTGCTCTGAGGAGGCAAGGTGGGTGTGGTGCAGCCCATAACATACATCCAGCTTGTAGCTGGCTTTAGTATTCAAGCCAAGTTATAAAACATAACCTCACCTATGGCTGTTTAGGCTCCCTGGAAACTCTAAGAGATGGGGAGAGGGAGTCAAGATGGCAGTACAGCCAAGCAGCCAAGAAGGTGCTGAGCCTATCCCCACTGAGGAGCACAGAGACAAGCAGCAATGCGACCTCTGTGAAGTATTCAGGATGGGGCGGGGGGAGGCATTTTCATGCAAACCTCTCTCTTCAAACAGAGCAAGAATATTGAGCTGTTTGTAGATTGATGCTCAACCTGAGACAGGTGGAAAAGAGCAAGCTAGAGCCATAAAGTTTTATAACAAGCTGGCTCAATCCCACAGAAGGACTCCGAGAGCAGCCCAGCCCTATGCATACTCTGTGCATCATAGAGTAAGCCTGCAGCAATGACAGGAGAGGACTGCACACCCTTGTGCTGCCACATTCAGAAGCTTTATTGTGGAAGCTACTACCCAAGTTCTTCCGCACAGGAGACCCAGCATGGTACAGAACTTGCAGGGGCCACAACTGACCAGCTGAAAGAACAGATGTACAAGAAAAGTGCAGTACCCAGGACTGCTTGGTTTAATATTCACTCCCCAAGGAATCCAAACAAATCCTGCTTTCCCACTGCAAGCTTTCCTAGGGGAAAGTATCACATAATTTATTTGGGAGGGCAGGGGGCACCACACTTTAAAAAAAAAAGAATAACCTTGACCTTCTGGAGTGATAATGGGGTGGTCTCTGCCCACATGTACTACACTAGAGTTCCTTTCTTTGTAAGCTACTCTGAAGTAAAGCTGCCAAAGTCTGCTCTTTTCTTGTCCCTACTCTCACCACCAGCTCTGCAATTTAAGCCTGCTTTTCAGACTTTTTTCAGTTAGTGCCTTTTCTGGCACAAACAAGGTGGAAACATGCAAAGAAAACCAACAAATCCGTGCACATCCCTCCCAGACCATTTGAGTGCTCTTCAAAGCAGCTATCAGCACCTCTTCTCTCTGCTCATTACATACCTTAAGATCCTTGTTAAGGCCAATGACACAGGTTGGGGTGAAAGCCAGCGACAAGAAGTGTGACAGGGGGAACCAGAACCAGAACTGGGTGAAGACCAGAACCCCCACCACAGAAGGCATGTGAGTATGTCCTGTCCTCGACTGCAGTGAAATAGTTACATTATGGCCCCCTGTAAGGAATCATAAATGAAGTTAATGAATGCATTCCTGGGTACTCCACAAAGACACCTGAGCAATTCACCTCTAAAACAGCTCTTGTGAAGGGGCTACAAGGCGCAAGCCAGGCCAAAACGCTCTCAGCTTTCTGCTCTGGAACACACCTCCCTCCTTCACTGTGATCTCAGCTTACACGGTAAAACAGGCGGACAGCGTAACAACCAAACTGCTCTACCTGCTAGATATTGCCCAAACACAATGAATACAGCCCTTCCACGCTCATTTTGCTGGGATACAAGTTAAACAAAAGTACAATGCAGAAGGCAGGGAGAGGGGGAGAAAAAGGCAAACATTTGCCATAAGCAGTTTTAAAAGATAGCATAGATGATCCACATGACAAGACTCACAAGGGAAATAGTGCACATGAAGCAGTGCATACAGAAACTTTTCTTTCTGTGGCTGCCTCCCTGAACTGTCCGTTATTCAGAAGAAATATGCCTAGGTTTTTATCCTACACCATCTCAGGAGAAAAAAATGCAAACAGCAGCAACTTCAGAAGCTGCTTCTAGAGGTTATCAATCTAAGCAGCAAAGAGACAAGCTCCTTGCACTCTTTTGCAGCAAAATTACATCGCTGCCAGACAACCAAGTCTTAGCTTTGTACTTGCAAAGCAGAGGCCAAAACAACTCCATATGTTGATGTAGCGCAGAAACATCCAGCTCAAAACCAAATTGAAAGACTGGGCTTGCAGACAGAGTAAGAAAGTGTTAATCTGATATTCAGTCTTCTGATGAACACAGTGAATTGAGTTGAAGAGGGCACCAGGCAAGTCCAGGTGCAGAGACGTTAACTTTGTTAAAATACAAACACCCACTCATTGCAAACTCAGGGCGCTTTGTAGCTGAAAATCCCAAACAGGAGTAATTCCCCTGCCTCGCACAAAGAGCCACCTCGATAGGGCCAGGCAGCAATGGAGCTGTCTGAGTTTTACAGACAAGCAAAATTAATTTCTGCTGCCAAAACTAATCAAAGCCCTGAATGAAGCAGTAATCTCATCTTAGGTATCTGTCAGCATTAGTCCCAGGAGAAGCAGTGGAAGATGGAGGATTTTGATGTCCTCATGTAGGATACTCTGCATACATACTATCTCTTTGCTTTTCCTTCTGTGGTAGCAATAGATCTCCTGCTGTTTGACTAGAAAACTCCTTCCAGCCACCTCTTTGAAGAAAGGCAATGATAACGGTCTCGTCTTGCTCTGCTTCTCATTATTTTCCCCGATACCAATCTCTTGCCGTTATACTTGAATTTGCCACAGCATTAAGGAGGGACTGCCTGAGGTCTTGTGCTATCCTTAAACATGTCAATCACTGCACACTCAAACTTCCGGTCTTCTCCCCCATCTTTAGTTTGAACTTTTCTTCACTGCATCACTGTACAAGGGCCAGGTCAGTATATGCAGATATTCTGGATCAAGCAGCCCGGTGAATGGTGCACAAGCAGCTTAACTAGTCTTATCAAACTCTTGGACTTTAATTTTCAGAATGTATTTAACCTTTAGAATTGTATTATCCAATCTCTGGAATTTCCTGGATGAGTAACAGATTTCATACTCAAAAGATGCTGCCATGCTACTTCTTTCTGCTTTTTTACACCCACACACAGCCCGCCCTTGCTCCCCCGGTTTTGCAGGGAGCAGGAAAGGTGGGGAGACACAATATTGCACAACTGTGATTTATTTTCATGATTAAGTAGCAGCCCTGACAGCCTGGAAGGGAACCCATTCCAGATCTTTGGCTGGATGGATGAAAGCTGTGACAGGACGCCTGGGGGAAAAAAAAAGTTCAAAAAACACACAAGAAAAATTTTCAGGGCTCCTTGGGTAGTACTATAAGGTCCGACTCCCAGAATTCACAGTACCACTGTGACAAGGTTTGCTGGAATTAAAGAGGCTGTTCTAACGGCTATGAGAATTTCCTGGCTCAGGTTTAATGTCAGTTAACAAGAGGGGGAGTGCAGCAAGCAGACACCAATGATTCATACACTTTGAGGAACTCACTCTTTACACAGTCATGGTGGCACTTGGTAACAGTCTGGCAGCGTAGAACAGGACAACACACCAGCACAATAGTCATTAGATAAAGACGCTTTGTGGACCTTGGAAATTAGTTTCCAACCCTGGCCCAGGCAGCATCCTATTTTCAAACAGTATCGTACTGTTTCTTTCTCTACCAGCAAAGACTTATAATCTGCCTCATCTATGTAGTGAATGAAGACAACCTGAACTGTTGGCAGCAACACAGAAAAGTCAAAATCTCACAGGACAAGCCATCAAAACCCCAGCAGAGTTGGTTTCACCATATGCCAGTGACCTGATTCACATGGGCAGTGAACACAAGGTAGCTCTAATGGACAAAAACATCAGCACAGGATAATGGCTTTTTTCCTAACTACCAGAGAGTTAGAGCCAACTTTACATGAAAAGCCCACGAACAGGGACAGGCAGGAGAAAGTTGGGAAACAGTAGCACCAAATTCAACACATGGGAGAGCAGACCTTATGCATCAAAGCTTAATTTTTGTACCAAAGTGTTTTAACATCCAAAATATAGCACATCATGCAAGATGCATATTTGGGGAGACAGCAATGAGGAGATAGGCAAGCCTTTCCTCTGTAATTTGGATGACACTTTCTTTTTCATCACTCATTGCAAATGTCTCCAAACTGTGGAGAATGCAATACATTCACCATCAGGCTGTCAACAGCTTCTTTGGCTTCAGTCTGCACTGCCCAGTGCTACACTCTGTCTCCAACGCACTGCACTGCTGACCCCACCCAAACCTTTCCTAAATATCAAGAAAAGGATTTTCCAGATATACTACACAGATATTTGAGTAGTGACTGCCACTCCTCCTTTTTTCTCACTGATTGAGAAATGTGGCATTAGGAACTAGGGAAGATACCTAGAGCCCAGAGGGCAAAATAGTTTTCAAGCAGATAAAATGCTGACCTCTAATTAGATCAGTAGCTCACATTTACAAACACATAGTCCAGAAAATAAAGCATATTGATTTTGCAAAGATCAGAGAGTCATCAGCCTGGAACAAGAGAGCATGTTAGTATGTGAAAGGGAGCATTATAAAAGTTCAGAGATTTTTGGGGGAAAAAAATTCCCTAAGTTTAAATTTAGAGTGTCTACATTTTTCTTGTTTTATTAAAGAAGTAAAAATGTAGCTGCTGGGGCTTAATAATTAGACAATGACCAAATTTTTTACTTTAACTTCAGTGCTCCTAAAGTACCCTGCTCCCTGCTCCTTCCATGAAACCACCAGTCTAATGAATGCCTCATTGTCAGAGCGAAAAAAACCCTCACCTCCAAGTGCATCATTTCCCAGTTACGCACTGGAAATCTTACACTTTTAATCAAAGCCTGTCATCAGAAAACAATTATACTTTTCTCCCCCCACCCCCCCGCCCCAACCAACCAACCACCACAAAGCCAACCAACAAAAAAAACCCAAACTCAGTTGCCCCAACTGTGGCAGATGACACGAAGAACCTTTTCTTCCTGGTAGTGATAATTAAATTCTATAGCTCATTGTTTCAGATAAGTACTCGTAGTTGTATGGGAGAGATAAAAAGAATTTATTCTTTTGAGAGGCTCTAATGAAAGTGGCAATAGGTTAAGAAAGGGTAGTTCACAGCCTTCCCCCAGCCGCTCAGCAAGAAATAAAGAGGTTAAAGTTGGCACAAATTCACATGTAGTTTATTAAAATTGGATGCTTCTGGTTTCCAAGTTATTATACAATACATGAGTGACACAGGAAGCAAATAAGGTTCTAGCTGGATTTTTATGATTTAATCTTAAAGGTCAGAATTCGAAGCTGTACTGCTAAGAGAAAAATCTGAGCCAGCTGGGCTCTGGCTTCCCAGCAACACCATTTGAGTATGGGAATGACCAAAATTGTTCTAACACTGTTGTGCAAAGAATATTGCTCAGTCTGAGATCCAGGAGGGGTACCTGGGAGGCAAGAAAGATGGCTCTTGCGGCTTTCTTCTTTGAGTAGCCCCAGACAGCGCACAGAGCAGCCTGACTGCCCCATGCCCACCAGGAAGAGAGCTTTTTAAGCATGGTTCCACGCAGATAGGTGCAGGGAGCCCTAAGTTTTTCTCACTGCATCACAAAGCTTGGAGGTGTAGTAATTTCATACAGACACTGTGTAAACACAGTGCGTGGTGCTGTGCTTAAGCCACGCCACAGAGACAAATACATGAGACTCCTTTGTTTATGTGACTTCAGAACTAACCTTGATCTCAAGAGTACAGGGAAAACCACCTTGTTTCTATCTGCCACGGGGAATAAGGAGGTGCACAGCAAGAGACACCAGATGGAAGAAACTGTGTTTGGAAACTTGGAAACGGGGTGCCATCGACACACACAGCACTGTACAAGTCTTAACTCCAGCAGAAGGAAAAATTCAAAACAAAACATTGTCTGTCCTCTTTGCTTACAGAAACCTTCCTTAACAGGCCCTGCAGTTCAGCCCTTGTGAAATGCTAATGCCTTCAGAGAAGCCCTGGCTCAACATTTAGCCGTTAAACACTCCTGAAATGATGTTTCCTCTGCCGGAAAAAGGTAGCGGTCTGTGAAACTAACTGGGTCTTCTGAAGTAACACGGATGCAGTTAACTATGCTTTCCTCTTTGTGCAACACCTCTCTTAATAATCAGGAAAGAGGCAAAATCTAGTTATTAAAAACATATTTAATACATTTTTTTAAACTGGTTATGTCAAGTTTTAACAGAAAAAACAAAGTATGAGGACTGGATACCACAAGGTTTCCACATTTCTGGAGCAGGTGCTTACTTAGAAAAATAAAGCAGCAACCTACCACACTATAAATCAACATTCAAGGTGACAAAACAGACTTAGCGCAAAAAGTTCATATTCGTCCAGACTTTTGGACACAAATTCTGCCCCAATGACTGGGTTGAGTCTCTCCTAACAGAAGCACACTGATACAAGCTGAAACTACAAAACAGGATTACTTCTTCAATTAGCTAAAATGACTTCAAATTTCAGATTTCTTGTTACTATTACACAATAGGCATAAAGCCAGCACTTCATCTCCCAAATGAAATTTGCTATTACAGCTACTGTAGCCAAACAAGTTTAAGAAATTTTGACTGCTTTAAATGTTTGGGGAATTACCTGCATCCAAAATGCCTTGTGCCAAGATTGCTCCGAACTTTGCCATAACATCATCGTGCTTGTCATTGATCACTTTGGAATAGAGCTGTCTGAACTGGCTGACCTGGATTAAAAAAAACAAAAACAAAAAGGAAAAAAGGAAAAAAGAGAGGTATTATACAACTGACTGCATGAGTCAAACATTCTGTCTTTAGTGGAAGCATCCTGGATTTCTGCATCCTAGGACAACATTTGTCATTTCAACAGCTTCAGTCACTGGTGTTACAAGTCATCCCACTAATAATTAATTACAGAGGTTTTCCCCACTTGAAGATACCCATATAGCGATTTTAAAATAGTCAGGGTAGGCATGCAGTTCCAAACTACATTTTGCAGGCCTTACAGGAATAGCCTGAGAATCTCTGGAGTGTCACTAGAATAAAAGACCAACTGAAGAGTTTGTAGCAAGAACTACTTTATGTTTTTAGGTGCATGACACTGCACGTTATTAAGTTTCCTCCAATTACTACTGCTGAAAACCTCAAACCTACTCCCCTTTCTTGTACAATATTTCTACTGTATTGATAATGCTCCTATGGTGTGTCATCAGCAGATTTTGCTACTGTACTCCTACCTTTTAAGTGAAAAATCATTAATGAAAATATTTAATAAATAACAGTTTATACCATGGTATGTTCACCACAATATCTTAAGCACACGTAAGGGAAATTGCTAAACCTTTACTTATATTATCGTCATTGCTTCAAACAGCTTAATCTTTCACTGGTTCACTAAGTGTTGAAGAGATAGAACAGTATCACATCCAGCAATATCTAAGGCTTTATCACAAAAGTCTTTTAATATATACAGTGAAGCAACAATACAGCTTAAGTAATTTTTATAGCTGAAAAAGCAGACCATGAAATCCCGATCTGCATCCCAGTCAAAACTTGTGAAGCTGCATCCCACCCACAGCACATCTGGAAGAATCTTCCGTACCTTTTCCCTAAATTAATTTTAATGCAGGTATCCGTGTGACATTTTATTTTCATTTTTACTGTTTTCATACTAAGCCTTCACTTGAATGCTCAGAAGCAAAGGAGGTCTTTTTGAAAAGACTCCTTCCAAGATGTCTTGAACAAGCTTCTCCCCACTACCAGTCCCTTTGTTGCTGGTATTCCAAGTCCTCTTCCTACACCTGCAGCCACAGATGAGAGGACAACTTCTAGCTCAAGGCAGTAAGGCCAGACACAGCCACCAGACACAGAGCAGTTAGTAGTATTGCAAACACAGTTCAAGTTTCCAAGTCTAAAACCCCAATACCAGACAACGCCCTAGCCGCTTTTCACATCCAAAGAGTGTGTGCCTCTCCGGGGACACCAGTGATATTTGCTCAGTGATAAGCGTCTGAAGAAAGGTCCTACCTTTCAGCTGTGAAACACACTTAGTGTCTGCTGTAGGCAGAGGCCAAGCTTCAACACCACCACTAGAAATGTACATTTGCACAGCCTCTGATGCTCCCAGAGCCTAAGTGTACCAGTGAAGGAGGCTTCAACACTGACTATGACACTCAGGAGGTCCTTCTGGCTGATAACAGCACCCAGTACCCCATGCATGCAGGACACCACAAGCTCCAGAGCTGTGCTAAGGGTGGGCAGCACTGAGCACCAGGAGCAGCCCTCAGGCATCACTCCTAGCACATGTGGCCTGTCTTGGGGTGCCCTGGGGAATCTCAAAGCACTTACAGAAAGAGTTTTCGTACCCGTAAAAAAAAAACCCCAACCATTCATACAACTGAGTGAGTGACATGAGAACAGTGCTGGGAATAACATTTTGTTAAACTGGGATTCATCAAGGTAAAAAAAAAAAAAAGATCAAAACAGAACCAAGAGCTGACTGAGGGGATAAATCAAACTGCAGGGTTTCTCAGCAAACACGAGACCAGATTCCCCAGTAAAAGCACATCAGAGCCATGAGGTAATCCTGCAGCCAAGGTAATGCTAGCAATAAATTTCACCACATTTCACATGTGAATTTTTGACCAGAGGCAGTAAGAAGTTGAGACTCTACCTTTAAGAGATTATGTCCAATGTCTGGGATGGAAAGAAGACAGAAGTTGCCGCTCCAACCCAGGAACATTATAGCCAAGAGCCACAAGGCTGCTTGGCAGCCCTATACACATAGTGAACCCTTCAGATTAAGATCTCATGCTTTCTGCAAAATGATTCTCAATGCACATTAACTCATCACACCACTTAAAACACAGGTGCCCTAACGGAACGGGCACTCTCCAGTCAACACCTTTCCTGCCTTTGTTCTTTCAGCCACTAACACAGCTGTAATACTTGCCACCTCAACTCCTTCGGCGCTGATGGCATCTAACCTGGTGAGATCCAAACCAGTCTGTGACAGCGAAAGGCACTGACATTCACACAAGTAAATCATGACCTGCTAAACATGACTGCATTAAAATTACTTTATTTGTTTCACACAAATGGATAGTGCACCAGAGCAGCCAGACACTTTTAAACAGGAGCAGCGAAGCTAAACAAAGCAACACTTCTTGGGTAGAGCAGGGGGCATTTATTAAAACTGACAGGGGAAAAAACACCAGTTATTTCCATTTTTCAGTCTAAGCAAGTCTGACAATTTGTGTGCTAATATTAGTTCTCTGTTCACCAATTCCCCTTTGCATTAAAAAGTTTTTAGTTACTAGTCCCTGTCCCCAAAAGGAGGTGACTTAAATTTCCTTTCATTTATTAAAGCTAAGAAAAAAGAGCAATGTGCATTTTCAGGGCAGCCACACAAGACAGATGTGTGGCAGAGAGACACTGCACACACACTACAGGGTTTATGCTGGATATACTGACCAAATGCTGCTGTTGCTTCACTCCATTTATGCTTTTTCACGCTCTCCCAATTTTTATTTATAAAAGCTTACACTGAGGTTTACACATTTAATATAAATAGTTTGTTTCTTATGCCTGACCTCTTCTACACTGGAAAAATACCTTAGTTTGCATTTGCAACCTGGAACGGAGCCTCATGCAGTATCAAGGGCAACCACATGCAGACTAGGTGAACCAAAGCCTTCAGGTATTATTTGGGACAGACACAGAGAGACACAGAAGCAACATGTAAAACTATTCCTCTGGCTGAACTGAGCAGTAGGATTGCAGTGCCTCTGTTTAGAACATATCATTCCCATGACTCTGGGCTCAGCTTCTGGGTTTGGAATATTTATTAAAACAGACAGATGTTACAAAGCTCGTTTGGTGGACTGTAATCTGGAATTTATACCGTAATCAAATCTTCAGAGAACGAAACCCTGGGTGAAGCTAGAAGACATTCAGCAGAACTGCTAATGTTCACTCTGGCGTCTGAAGTCTGACGGAGCAGCACCTCGGAACAGAGGGCAGAAACACCTTGCTCGGGAAAGGCGAGGCAGGGCTAGCAGGGCAAGTCATCCACCTCTCCTGGTCATGGCATGCTGCCCCTGTGAGCACCCTTCCTCTAATATGCCTTTGCCAGCTCCTATTCACATGTACAGAGCAGACGAAGAAAACACTCGGGCAAAAAGCCCACCAGGAGCCCACCAGCTGTGGCACAGGGACATCGTGTAGAGCAGTGAGCTAACTGGGAGACAGGCAACTGCAAGGGACCAAGGGACAGAAACATGGCTGCTAAACCTCAGTGGATCAATTGCCACCTCTCCAGGCAACACAGACAGGTTACAGCTGGGAATCAGCTCAGAGCAGGTGTTCAATGACCAAGCACTGAACAGCTACAATAAGAAATAGTCCTTATACCCTCTACTTCTAAAAATACAAAATATGTAGTGCCATATCATGAGCGTTCTGCTTTCAGATAAAATTCTGCATGCCTGTGCATTGTGAGCCGTAGACCACTGCCAACCCTGGAAAATCTGTTGAGCAAGTGTGCCCTTTCCAAAGTTTTACTTTAGTATCAGTGGAAGCAAAATTGTTCTATGAAAGGGTGGGAGACTACCCCTCCTGGCCTTAGGGACAAGGCAAACCCAGATCGAAGGACTGCCTCAACACTCAAATGCACGGGAGGCCTGCACGCTTATTCAGGCTGTTCCTATAAAGCAAATGCTTCACAGGAATGGGATTTTTGACTGCATCAGGTCCCAGCTGAAAACCTTCCTTGCTGCTGGGGAAAGCCTGCTTTGGTGGCTCTAGCTGTAGCGATTCAGGAATGAATCATCTTCACATGGAGTCATTGCTCTATCTCTTTGGAGAAAGCAAGGTACAGACAAAAACTCAGTTCAGCATTCTGCCTTCACTGTTGGGGAACTCACCTCCTGCAGAATGGAGCAAGAAGTCAACAGACAGTAATTTCTTAAGCTGTTGAAGAAAAATCTGCCAGAGTTTGTCTAGTAGAGCCCTTTAATGTGCTAATATTTTTTCTTCAAACCACAGCAACAAGCGCATCCCGAACTACTGACTAGGTTTATTTATTATGCTATGAAACCCGCAAGCTCTTGTTTCTCCCTTGAAATTTTCAAGCACTTTAAAAATTCTACAGCATTTGGAAATGCTATCAAGAAATTTATTTGGGTGACTTCCAGGAGGAACACTAAAATGTAGGCAGTGATTCATTTCATCTTTACTAACAATACACACACACCATTCTGATAATTAGTGCTGGCCAAAACGACATGCCACTGATTTCAAATGAAGCCAAATGCACAACCTTGGAAACACGGAGGAAACAACATAGGCTTTAAGACATGAGAATGATACAGCCCCATTTCCTAACACAAACCCGAGGTGCGGTCATTTATTAGGTTGTTTACCACTTCGCCATCTCTGGAAGTGTTCAAAAAACGTGTGGATGTGGCACTTCAGGACATGGTTTAGGGGACATGGTGGCAGTGGATTAATGGTTGGACTTGATGATCTTGAAGGTCCTTTCCAACCTTAGTGATTCTGTGATTCTCCCTCCACCAATCAACATTCGTGCACATGAAGCTCATGAGACTGTTAAGAATAAGACTTAATAAACAGTTAACTACGGAAAACAGTGGCAGGTGATGTGCATGATGCTTTTTGCAAATGCAAGGTCTTAAGAACAAGAGTATTTAGGAATCTGTTTTTAATAAAACAGGTTTTAAACTGTTTGCATCTTCTATCTTCTTCAAAAGTTGAAGTTATTCTGTGTATGCTTGTTCTCTTGAAAGGGCATACAGTATGCAGAAGTATCTAACAGTAACAGGCTTACATGAAGGAATGTGAAGATGCTACTAGAACATAGCAAAAATCATTCTTGCATCCTTGCAAAACCTAGCATTTCATCTAAATGGGGGGGGAGGGTTTCTTTACAACATCTTAAAGATAATAGGCCAACATGATCAAAGGAAGATTAGGAAAAGCCTTGACCTTGATTATTATCCTCTCATTTTGCCAAGATAACTATCCTAACACAAAAACAGGAAAAAGTAAATTCAATTCAAGTTGTTAGGCATGTAGTTTGTCTCCAAAATTGCTGTCTTAATTGCCCTGCAGGTCACAAATGCATAATGAAATTGTCATTGATTTCTGTTACAATGATCTCATCACATCTATAATTTAGGATTCCATTTCACAAAATAAACTTGTTATTGTTCCATATCCTGCACTAATATGGTTCTTAAATGTATCAACAGAGGTCAGGAAAAATCATGCTGGCTGCACACGGAGGAATTGCGTTTCAGGTCTGAAGAAGCCAAATCAGCTTTACATAACATTTGCTACCCCTTTTGGCAGCTAAGCAACTTGCAAGTTCAAGGGACCTCCATATAATGACAGTTCTTTATTTAAACACTTTATTTAAATTTAAACTCTTAAATTATTTGTTTAAATAAAGAGTGAGCACAACAAAGAGGAAGACGAATACAAAGGAAAGAGGGCAAAGATGATTCAAAGGCATAGATCTACATTCTCTCATAACAAAAATGGTTTCTTTTAAACCAAAATACTTTGATTCTTAAACCTCTGTTTATTGCTGGCATTTCAGCATTGCAACACTCAGTTCTCCAAACTCTGAAGTTATTTTATTCCTGAAAAATCTAAATCTCTTCAAAGGAGATTGTTTGCTACTATCTTCATCCCAAATTGTCACCAGAGAATTTAAAGTCGTTCTAACCCGAAGCTCAAAACCGAGAAGTTTACAACAACAAAAAATAATCCCAGAACAGACAAAACTGAAAAGTAATGACAGGAAGCTGGTCAGACTGCACGTCATAATCTTTATTAAAATCACCATCTCGCACATGCAAAGCATCACGAAGTATTTAGCAGAAGTGAGATGATGATACGTAAAATTTAGTTGCTCTGTAACCCCATCAAGACCACACATACAGCTTGTGGGAAATGAAATCCATCATGCTCCTCTTACTAGCTGCTCATCCAGCAAGGCAAATACTCACATACATCAGGTTAGACACTGGCACACAGTGCACCAGTGTGCCCCTTAGGAATCTAATCAGATCAAAATATGTCACTGTAATCCAAAAATGGCCAGTTTTCTGAACTCCATCCTTTCACATCAGAGTAAAATAATTTTTCTTCAGACTGGCAGAGAGCTCCAAAAAAGTTTCCCATGGATAATAAATAACTTAATTGGCAGCATATTCCTCAAAATATTCCTTTTACTTTTGAGCAAGAAGCTATGATGGTTATAACTAACTTCTGGGGTGTTCAAAACAAGTAAAATTTCTATATTATGTGTTTAGTTCCTAAATTAACAGAATATTTCAGGGATTATTTATTATAATCTATAGTTTGGGGGGAGTGTTTTTAAAATCTGCAGTGCTTCTATGACTGGGTAATTAATTGCCTTCTGTAGCTATATTATGTAATACTACACAAATTTTGGCTCAAACAAGGCTCTGACATAAAGCTTTTCCAGTTCCTCTCCCCATTTTTAAACAAGCCACTGAACCCCAGACTATACACCTCACCCCGTATTTGCTAGCCAACTATTTCAATCACCCATTTAATAAGCCTAGGTATTGCACATACCGCTGAAGTCAAGGTTATCAGCCTCTTTGGGAAAGAGAGATCTGACTTACTAGACCCCTCAATCTGTATTTTTGCTAGCTGTTTTCCTGCCTGCACTTTTCTTTAGGACACAGAGACTCTTTCACCTATCATCTCAAGAAGACTGAAACTCCAATAGACAGACTCAGACAGTAATCAACAGTCTTGGATGTCTGATTCAGAGCAGTCTGCAATTCCCATCCCAAGAGGATTAGGGTGCTTTGCAAACTAAAATGGATTTATTCTCATAACGTCCTTTCGTAGAAGACAGTATTATCCTTATTTCTTTCATGTGGGAAATTGCGGCACAGGGGATCTATACAATTTGTTATACAATCTATACTAACTCCAATGTTAGAGGAATGTAGAATAATTAAACCTGATCTATATTGAGGGCTGGCATTCCAAGTACCTGACCAAGGAAGAGACAATAAAAACAAGCAGTTTCTTTCCATAGAAAGATAATTAGACTTTATATTACAGAGACTTTGTATATTGAAAGATGAGGGGATCCAACAGAACTCTAGTGTTCCCCACTGGTTTATTCAGTTGAACTACAATTCTGATAGTATGAACAACGCTCCCAGATTCTGCTCAGTGAAAACTAACTGGGGTGGTTTGTTTTTTTTTTTTTTTAATTTTTTTTTTTTTTTAAGTTTTCTTTTCTTTTTTTTTTTTTTTCTTTAAATAATTCAAAGGAACAAACTGTCTGCCAGCAAATCTTCATGTTCCATGACTTGGAAATACCCAAACACCTGTATTTGTAGATTTCCTTTGCTGACTTTCCCAAGTAAGATTTTCCACTGGACAAAGAGGTTTTTTTCTTTCTCTCCATCCAAATGCAGTAAAAAGTGGCTGTTTTTATCACAGCTCAATTTTTAAAATGACATCAATAAAAGCAACTCATGTGACAGATGAGTAGCAAAGTACCAGCTACTGCTCTGCCTCAGCACTCACCAGAGCAGATGAAATGTGGAACCTCAGAGCTTCTGTTAATGCAGACTTTTAGTCTGTACAAATGTTTGCATATCATCACCTGTCATACATTCACAGGGCAATCTATTTTTAAAAGCTAAACACAGCACATGCAATCCTTTTTGCCTTCTGACCAGAAAGAAAAACTCCATTAGAAAAATAAGTATTTGCTATAAAGCTACTAAGGCAGTTCTGACAGCAGAAACTGTTTCCCCTGAAAAGTGTAAGACTACAAGAGAAGCAGCTACAAAAGAAACACAGTTGTAACCGGACTTTGCTGCAGGGTGACCACATCCAAAACTAAGTTTACTATCATCAAAACCAGCTTCTTTACTAAATAACGGTGTTCACATAAATCATGAACATATAGGTCTCAGTGCATGTTAGTGGAAGACAGTCACTTTCATAGCATTCACAGAACCACAGAATCACTAAGGTTGGAAAAGACCTTTAAGATCATCAAGTCCAACCATCAAACCAACATTCATTACAAGATGCTTTTAGACCTTTTAAGAAAGAGCATGTATTCTTGTAACACCCAGAGTAAAAATGCTGTCTTCCATCAGGCGTGTTTCCATCAGCATGCATCGCTCCCCCATTCAAAAGTGCATGCTGTGATCCCTGCAGGAGCTTCCTGCTGTGCTTCAGCTCTGGCTCTTTACAAGGCACGTACACTCTCTTGCTGATGCTTATGTGCAGTGCCAAGCACTAAAGATTTGGCATCCAAGACCATTTTTCCACCTAACAAACCAGTATGTAAGGTATGGCACGTTACCTTTGGGCAGGTAATCTCAGTCTGCTGGATCATGATAAGGGCAGATGCAATAAGAGCTCCTTGACGTACATAGTTCACAGGATCATTTGTCATTGGCTCGAGCAAATTAATTGCTTCCTAAAAAAAACACCCAAGAAATAAGCAGTCACAAAGTTAATACTATTATTTTTAGTATCCCAGGATTCAGTATTCTAATGGAAGGTTATCAGATTGATGCTATCAGATATACTTTTTAATATATTTTGCCTGTCCTTGGTAAATGAAGCAGAAATCTGTATTTCTGTGGATTTTAATCTAAAAACAGGGAAGAAAAAACCACACAAAAAACAAGTGATGGATGGAACAAGATCTACTTGCAGATATAGGGCAGCAGATAAAGAACAGTTGTAAGCAACAGATTCATTCATAACATTAGAACTACTGACATGCCTTAAATAGTACGCATAAATTATTCGTACACTTGCTTTACCATTCTTCTCAACAAAATACATCGGTGTTACCTTCATTTTCTGTGTAAGGTACAAATGAACCAGAGATATCAAACAACATGTTGGAGGTAAGAAAAGGAGATGGTAAAACAATCCAGGTCCCAAATTCTTGGCCTTACACTTTATTATTAGAACCTGAAACATTTAGCATCACACAAAAGCATTTATTTCAAGCCTACATAAAGTGGGGCTGCCTCTGAGCACCCATATAGTAAATCTAGGTTTTTAAAACATTTCAAAATGCTCTATTGCTTCTTCAAATTCAGTACCTTCCCAGCTAAGTGCAACAGCAACACGATCCACAATGACCTATCAATAATCATTCCTTTCAATACCATTGATTATGAAAAGCCGTAAGAGAGTCTATTGTAATAAATGCTGCTTAGATGTACCCAAGACCAGCATGGGCAATTTGCAATTTGCAGGTACCTCAGGCTAAATAATCTCTTCTAGGCACATTTTTTAATCTCCATTTACAGTTCTGCCACTTTGCAAGCCATAACTTAACTATACGTAGAATTATTAGAGACACAAATTAATTTCTAACCATACAAGGTCCTCAGCGCACATTACACAAGACAACTGAACTCATTTAAATTCACTGCTATGAAAATGAGATCCCTCTCCTTCCTCAACTTCCCTTCAGCTATCCAGCCCCCTGCCCCGCCTTTCCCTGTGCTAGCTGTAGCCCTTGTATCACCTCTCAGTGAGTTTTTCCAGCTCGATAATTCAGCAGAGAACTGTTCCCTTTTTTGTTCTGGTTATCTGGGTCAGTTTTCTGTAAGTTTGTGTCTGAATCAGCTCATTAGGGAGCTGGACATGAGACAGAGCAAAAGGTGGCAGTAGGGATCAAGACCACTCATTTCAACAGCAGCAAGTTGTTAGTAGGCTCAGTGAGCCTTCAGCAACCACGCTCTTCAGATCTAAGCAGAATAAACTTAAGAAAGCAGTTTGTACAGCCATGGTCTGCACAGATGAATTTGGTCCGTGTCAACATAGGGACTTTCTAAAAGCACTCTGAAATGGCATGTGAAGCAAGCTGTTAGATACTCTTCGGAACAGGAGGGATAACAGTTAGACAGACATCCACCATAACAAGCTCAAAGAGCTCTTCTAATCTATTATGTGATCTTCTGATTACAGCAGTCAGACGGAATCACTTGGCAGTCTCTCGTACGGAGCTCTCTCCTGTCCGTACTTAAACTGAGGACACGAGCAAATGCAGTTGAGTGCATGAATCTCCCAGCACAGACCCCTCTCAGTGTTACTTCTGTCAGGGTCAGGCTTTTAAAAACAAGCTGATTTTATACAAAACACTATTTCTGAGAACCTCTTCTATAACATATCATGTCTTTGCTTAGACTGCTTCTGCCAGTTGAGCTATCTTGGAGGCTGTGCTGCTCCACCTGAAGGTGACTCACTCGTTCTTTGGCACACATTCAATACCATGTATGGAACATCCGCTATGACAAAAAGCTGAACTTTCTGATCTCCAAAGTTGAATATATTTGGGCCTTCAAAACCTACTAATATAAGCTCTGGAAGACATGTCTGCATGTAATCAGATGGCTTAGGTCTTTATCACACAATGTATCTGGAAATAAAAGACTCCTCTGTGCGACTAAAAGCATTTCCACTTAAATCAACTTGTCAGATGCAGCAGCTTAAAAATAATTAGCTCCTTGATTCCACCTTCCACTTGAGAATAAAGCAACCTGGATAAAAATAGGACTTTCAGCTTGCTTTCAAGTCTGCGTGCTTTGGATACTAAAGACGGCAGGCAGTGCACATCAGGCTCCGTGCATTTCACAACACAAGTGACATGCTGGGGAGTGCTCTCTTGCAAGAGCCACGGACCAAATGTTTAATACTAGCTGAGGAGGGGTTAATACAGATAAGCGTAAGATTTATCAAAGACTTGGAAGCATGAAGTGTTACTTCCACATGGACAGTCTGTGCACCTGTTTTGAAACTGTGATTCAGTACCAGTACGGATTATACACATATGTGGGTGAAGTAGAGGAAGCTTATCCCCAAGTTTACTTGCTGCTTGTCCCCATGAGCACTCACTTCACACAGAAGAAGTGGGAATCCTTCTACTCTAAAAGGTTCCTGCTCTCATCTGTGAGAATTATCCTTCACTGACACCTATAAAGTGAGAATAAAATGTACTGGATGTGAATTACACACCTGAAACTACAATTTCATTAAATTTCATTGCACTTGGCTTTACTACATGGATCTTCCATGAACTGTGTATCACAGGAAAGAAGGAGCTAGAAGTTATGCAAAACACCTGCTGTTTTCCTGTCACTGGCACCCCCTTGCTCCCCCTAAAGCAATCTGTAAGAGAACTCCAAGGGCAAAGGAATATTGATTTTGGAGTACTGAACATGTATTTAAAATTCAGTGGCAACTTGACAAGTAAGAAAACTCTAAGAAAAGTTTTGAGGACAAAATTCCAAAAATGTAGCAATAATGTATAAAAACATTCTTCTACTTCATCTATTCTGTACAAGCAGGAAAAATCTCTATGCCCAGGACAGTTCAAGAATTTAAAGAAGTACTGCTCTACTCCAGGTGGCTAGCAGTGTACATGTGTGAGAAATCTCATCTCTGTGTGTGATGTTTCCACACAAATGTCTCTGTGACAGGAGAGAGCAGAAACACTCTCGGCAACGGATGCTTCTGGTGCTCACCTTGTTTCCAGTGCCTGCACAGCAGATACCCAAAGCCATGGCAGCCCCATAACGCACATGGGGATTGTAGCTCTCTGACAGCAAAGAAACCACGCTCGGACACTGCTCGGGAGTCCTAAAGAAAGGCAAAAAAGGAATGTTATAGTTGTTCTTCAAAACATGGAGACTTTGCTCTGTTCATACTGGAAAATTCAAAATTGTCCTTCCACACTGCATGATTTGCATTTCTCAAAACGTAACCAGAGGGGTGGAACAAATGTACTAGGAGGAAAACAGGAAAGTGCACAAATGAATAAACTTCCCTGTCACTGCAGATATCACACATTGCTCCCACTACTAAAGTCTTCCTTTTAGTGCATATTTTCTACCTTTAAAAGATTAACCATCAGAATGACTCATCTATTGAGACTGAGGTCTTTATCTCTAGAAATCATGCTGCTGTAACAGACTTTCCACTAGCAGAGGTCTACTCTCCGTGAGACACACAGTACTAAATCTCCCATCAGCAGACGCAAAACCCAACTCCAGTATTCAATCAACCTTCAAGGTTGGTGGGTCCAAAGCTCCCTTTTGCAATCACTGCTTCTGCTGACTTTTCTTCACCCCACTTACTGCTGTAAATCAAAGCATGTGAGGAAATACTGATACAGCACACACTTCCAATCAGTTTACCAGCAATGTCTACCGTTGCCTCCTTAGAATATCATGCTGTGATGCTGCCTTTTAAGAGATGTGAAACAGAAGTGTAAGCTCCATGCCTTGTCTGCTGGGAACCAGTGTCCTGTTGGTCATTACAGCAACAGAACTTCTAGCCCAGTGCTGGATGAGATGAAAGGGAACCCTTAATTTCCTACAGCGAGAAGCACATGTTGCTAATGCAAAGAGTCTTGTGAATATTGAGTATTTCTGAAGGAAGGCAGAACACACTCACAGGTGTTGATATATTAATTTCCCTCCTGTCTTTGCATTCATATTTATCACTCCATTAATTTTGATGCCACGCAAACCACTTCATAATATGGTACACTGCCAATTTCATCATCCCTAATGCAGCAAAGGCAGAAACGTTTGCAAAATAAGCATCTCTGCATCAGGCAGGTCTGCATTCTGAATTCATAGGCATTGCAAGTACATCCATCACAGCTAATCTGTCAAATTTACCCACTCTCATGACACCAGGAACACAAGAGCGATGCAGGAATGCAGCTGGCACATACATGCTCATGAAAAAGAAAGGTGGGAAAGTATAAATTGCAAGTGATTATTATGCCTGTTTTCAAAGTGCACATCATCTGGTTATACACTCCACCTCACTGTGTCCTGCAGCTCAGACTAGCTTTTTAATTGTCACATTCACAATCCTAAAAGCAGTCTTGCAAGCCACTTACTTTGACTATAAACTGATTTCAGATTGAAACATAGAAAGGAAGAACCAAGAACACCTTAGTTTTAGCTTCCCTTCTTACATTTGCTGTACTGAAAGATGGAGGTTGGACGGTGGCAACAGTACCTGTTGTACACAGGAATTATAGCATCATGTAGGATTATTAAGTGTCTATCAAAGCACTCAACTCAAGAGACAGAAAAAACATTACAGAGTATGATCCAGCACTGGTTTTATTTAAATGAATACCTGAACCATAGAAAACAAAAGTAAAAAAGACCTTTCAGAGGCTACTCAACTCCTCAGCAGTAATGGCAGCAAGTACCCAGATCTCCTACCTCACCCCTGCTTCCAACAGCCTGTTTCTTTACAATTTTTCTTAAAATACCTGCATGGGGAAAGAATCCCATCTATCACCACCACCACCTTACAAACCCCCCCCACCGCACCCCCAAACAGCAGCAAAACCCAACACGTAAAAGAAGAGAGGAACAAACACAAAGTTGCTGGAAACTCTGCTGCCTCTAAGATGAAGCAATAATCACAAGTGTTAAGAAAGATGAAAGAGCTGGGAAGTGGAACGATTCTGTCCTGCAAGGAAGCAGTAGAAATGAAGACTATAAACTAAAAGACACATTTAAAACTACCTGTCAGTCTCTTGCTCAAGTAACAGCTTGGATGCTGGCAACGTTTTTTTTGCTGTTGTTGGGGTTTTTTGTTTTGTTTTTTTTTTTTAAATGAGCTGATGTGTAGATAAGGAGTCACAAATCCTATAATAAATGAGCCCAAGCATTCAGCTGCACAGAAGACTTCAGCTCTTGCACAAAGACTCTTAACACCTTTGTGTTTGCTTTACTTCAGCAAATGTTAAACAGGCAGATTGTGAGCCAAAGAAGAGAAAAACATCTTCTGGCAAAGATGTGATTATGCACTTTGAAGCATTAATCATTAAATTCCTGTTCAGAAAGCTGGGTTTTATAGAATCATTAACCTCTTTGTGTCTGCAGGCTTAGAAGTTCCAACACAGTTTTTAGTATAAAATCAGGATTAATGTACACTAATTGATTATAGAATTCTTAGCCAGATTTACATTATTTGTGGCCATTACTTTAAATGCTCTTATCTCAAATCTATCCTTAAAACAGTCAAACATTTTGATGGGGGCCTTCTTTAAATCCACTTTGGGAGTTAAAGCTACTTAACGGGTCCCACTGCTTTCCTCAGTAACTCAGACTTCTTGAACACGCAATCTTCAAAAAGCATCTTCCCACATAATGGAGACCTAGAAGGCAGAACCACAAGTGGGTTCAGGAAACGAAAGTGTCTTGTAAAAATGGTTATCAGAGGAACAGGACTTCAGTACACAAGAGTACTGTTGGCATCAATGCTTAAGCAATAACATTTGCTTGCTTGCTTTACTGCTGAGATGCTTTACAAAGTCCTACACGCTGTTGCCAAAGGTTAGCCCATACAAGCCCAAACCCACGCTTAATAAAATTCATAAAAGGCAAAACAATTCTGTCAAGTGATCAGAAGAAAAATTAGAAAGTCCTCATAAGCAGTTACAGGCTGCAATGATGCTCCTGTGGCTTACTTCCAACTGGTAATCCAGTTGGGGAATATGTTTAAACCATGACCACATGAACATCTCCTCCCCCAGGCCTGAGGCTTTCAGTCTTCAGGTTGAGCATAGCCACACGAGTTGCTGACAACATTCAGCACAACGGAGGGGCAGTCCTGCTGCTGACGGAGGAAGTTTCCACTCCACTGGTACCAAGCCCCACACAGATTCCCAAACCAAGTCCACCCCCTGGCTCCCTGCTGGAGACCTCCACCATTCTGTTGTGCTGATGTGAATCAATGTGGTTACTGAATTGAAACCTCTGGTCAGAGAGGGAGAGAAGAAATGAAGACTGTAAGAAAACTTAAAAACGTTACTAAAAAAAGAGAAATGATTTATCAGAAGTCACACTTGGCAACAGGCTATGACTAGTCAGTCCTAAAATGGACATCTGTTATTACTACAAGTTAGACACAGAAGATATCCTGGTATTTCATGGGAAGTTAACATCTGGAGATTTAGCGGGCAGAAGTTTCATTTCCAGACACAATTCTGCTCCCCTCCCCGCTTAAAAGTCATAGAAAAAATTTTAAGCCTGGCATATATTTAGTATATTTTGAGGACAGAAGCAATGTGCTGTAGTCCGCTAGTCTGACCTTCCCATAACACAGTCCAGTAATTTCATCTAAAAATTCCTACATTAAAGCCTAAGGCATGTCTCTAAACTGGGCTGTATATCTTAGAAAGATAGGCAATGTCTATTTTTAAAAAGCAAATTATCTTTATTGCACTGGTTCCTTCCTTTTTCCCTAACACTGGTTTTGATCAAGCAGTTTGCTTTTGAAATTACATTTTACTACAACAGCAAAACGACGACAAAAGAATAGCCTGATTATTTCCTTCATTTTCATCTGAAAATTGCTCAGCTGCTCCTACATAAGTGATCAAAACACAGACGTCAGTGAACCCAAACCCATGTACAAAAAAAACCCCAAACAACATCACAACTAGGTTCAACTTTATTCTGTTACCAGGAAACTAAATTAATCGAGAAGCCCAAAAAACCCTAGAAGTTTCTTCCATAGGACTTGAACACAGTAGTCAGCTACAGCTTTGTTTCCACCCTACACCAGGATAAATTTTACTGTTGTGGTATATGGGCTGCAGATGAAGGACTTCCTTCAAGATCCAGTTTGGTTCGTTTCAGAAGTCATTAAAAAAAATGTAAAGAAAAATAAAAACGCACCAAGACAATAATGAGAGATTCTCAGCAAAACATAATAGCTAGCATTTTATTAGTTTTACTCACCACCTGGTTGCTCTCAAAACCTCCACGAGAAACAAACACCTTACGTGGCTAAGGATTTTGAATCTTCATGGAAACCAGAACCAGAGAGAACACAAAGGAGCTGCCTAACTCCTGCCCAATTACCTTAGCCTTAGCCTCAACTTTGATCTCATTCCTGTGGATGTTAATTTCCTGGATATAATTAAAGTGACATTTATATAAGTATAAATGCTATATTCTCTATACAAAAGTTGATACTTAGCTTGTAAGTGCCCTAGAATTTCTGAGAAATCAAAGAAAGTTTTGGATTCTTCATTACTTCCAAAAAGAGAGGAAAGAAAGTTTTTCTTAAGCCTCCAGTGCAAAAATTCACAAAAAAACCAGGATGTCAATTGTTACCAACACAAACTAATATGAACAAAACCACCCAGCTCAGCTGGACACAGAAAGTGGTGAGTTTTCCTTTCAATCCATGATGTTGCAAACTATGGAGAACCTTCCACAGTCAGAGAACCCTGAAATTGTATTTCCTTTTCACCATGAAACATTTCTTACAGCAGTATTATTAGGAATCTGTAAGGAACCTAAAACTGGGCTTTTTTTCCGTAGATAATTACAACTGCAACATCTGTAGATGTTGCATTCTTAGTAGGCTGTGCCTGCAAGAGTCTTACTGAGCTACTGAAAGTCAAGGAACACTGTTAGGTACATTGACTCTGTTTAACAATCCACTTTTTTTCCCCCAAGAGGTATGCAACACCACCACAAGACAAATTAAAAACTCAGATTGCCATGTCTTGAAGCACATTCCACTTAAGTTTCTTAGATCACAGCCCAGTTCGAATCACATCCAAATACCTTTGCGCAGTTTATCTCCAATTCTCTAAGTTGCACATCGTCAAAGTTAGAGGACTTTCTCCTTATATTTCAATATTTAAACATGAACCTCGTATATGTATATAAGGTAGCCTCAACAAGTAAATAAACAGAATACTGAAAATAAACCACCACACTGTTCTTATGATTGAGACTAAAAATGGAAGTGTCTGAAGCATCACTAACATACACTTATTTTTTAGTCTAAATATTTAAGGACTTTTCATTGAAAAATGAAATGTCAGATTATTAAAGAACAATGTCAAATATATCTTTTAAATTCCTCATTAAGTCTCCCCAGTCATATTTCAAAAGATTCTAAATATTTATGACTTTCTAAACTATTAGACATGAATTAATCATCTGATACAGAACTATGTTCACCAGTTGCTTTGGTAGTGCAGTGACAGATGAAAAAAAAAGAGAAAAGCTTAACCGAAGTTTAATTTCATCCATGAATGAGTTAATAAAGGAAGAATGCAGATACCTATTGCACAACTTGCAACCATTTCTGAAGGGGGGGTGTGTAGCAGAGGGGGGAAAACATCAAAGATGGAAGACCTGCAGAGAAAACGCAACAAACTGACATATTTCAGCAGACTAAGCAGGGGTGCAAAGCCCATCTCTTTCTCAACGAAAAGGATCCAAGCTATTCCCATGCCAGGAATGTCCTGCAACTCTCTCATGTGCAACACAGCCTCCTTCTCCCCAGTGTTTTTGTCTGAAATGCCTCCTGGTTGCCTAAGCAAGACTTGCTGAAGAATGCGAACTTCTAGGAGGCCTCCCACTGTCAGGAGGATGAGCATGAGTGCTGCCAACAGGCACGGCGGAGGAACTTGAGGGATAAGCACCAACTGAACAACACTGTCACCAGTGTCAGCTCACGTGTAATGTAGACATGGCTCCATTCAAATAAAATACTATTGGCAATTTCAAAACAGAAATAACAGCCAGGGGTAGGGGGTAAAAAAAAAAAATCTATGCGTGGTTCAAATATTCCGGTTACGGTGGACCAGGAGCGGGGTCTAGCAAGATTTAAGGTTTAACACCCATTAACACAGGAGCAGAGCTGGACATGGGCAGGGCAGTGGCCTGCACAAAAAGCCTGACCAGAAGCATGCAGTGAAGAACCTGCTGCAGATCTGCAATAGATATACAGGAGGGTGTGTTTCTCAGAAATGATTCAAATGTAGGGAAGTTCAAAAAATATCACAAGAGGCAGATAAGTTTTCTAGCCATCTGAAATGAAACAATGCACCAAGCAGGAATATACACTATGCAAGCCTACGTGCAACAGAACTCCTATCTTCCTCTATGAGTTCCTTAGAAAACTCTGGTTTTATCTGTATTTAAAAAAAACCAATTTCGTTTTCATTTAGATATGAATGTGTTTACACAGCCTTCATCAGAGCAATCTGCAGGCAACAGTACAGCCTTCAGCTGGTGCTTCATCAAGGTACCTCCCCCCTCCCAATTTATTTGAGCCATTTGAGTGGCTAAAGAGATGACTTTGTCATATAAATTACATAATAACATCCACTGAGGCATTCCAGAGAAGTGGGAACACTTGTTTTTTACTTTGACTAAAACAACTCTTTACTGCAGTAACCAACAGTGATGCTTCTCAGATAGTAAGATCCGTGAAGATTTATGAAGAGGTAATACAGAACTCAAGTTGACAAAATTACACTTCTATAACTCTGATACTTCCCACACACTGAAGTGATTGAGGTATAGTGCCTACCGTGCTGTGAAAGAGATAATGTGAAAAGTGGAAAAAGAAAAAAATACCAAAAACCTCTTTCAAGATAATGCTTCAGCTCCAACACAGGCTTGATCAGTAACTGATGCTGATGATTAGCAGATGGTTCTTACAGATGCACTGTCTATCTCCCCCCACCCCCAGCTTTCATTTTGTTCTTTTCTTCTGTGACATGAAGATCTGCATATGGCATACACCCACAAGTAGACCACTGAAGTTAAAGGATTAATCTATCTTTTACTATACTTTGGTAGTTTTACTCTGGAACTTTTTTTTTCCCCCATTTATGATTCAGACATATTGCCAATAGTTCTATCTCCAGAAAGCGGTAATAATTTAAGCCACCTTTCAATAAGGAAAAAAATAGCTCAAGTGTCAATGATGAAGGAAAACAAGCTTCGTCTGTACAATCAGAAAGAGTGAACACTGGCTGCGTTTAATCCAACAGAAATTTCGGTAAAGACTTCAAGTACAGTTAGATTAATGCCAGGAGAGCCTTCAAGGTTTATAAAATAAAACAGAAGTTGATTAGACATAGTTGAGCTTAAGGAGAACAGAATCCAAATGCTCATTAGCCCATACTCTGTTGGTTTCTGCTTTTTGTATGTTTTCATGTGCTCTACTCAGTACCGTCAGGGGTGACAATGGGGAGGTGGTCAGATAAGGAAACAGAATTACCATAACTGGGTTAATCTTTATTTCCTAATATATACTTTTATGAAGAATAAAGATATCAAAAGCCATTGCAAATGAGAACGGCATAGAATCTTACCGAAAGTTTCCTTTAAATAGGAACAATAAGGAACAAGTGAAAACTACTTTGTTGGAAATTCTGTTGTATGATCTGAACACACTTTTAAGTCAAGTATTTCTATAAATTCCTGGCAATAGCTTTCTCTCTTTGGACCCAAAGTAGCTGTATCGTAAAGATATGAAGGTTTTTTTAATTTTTTAAAACATATAAATTGATTCACAGTTCAGTGAAGACCTCATTCCCAGCTCAAGCCTGGTAAGCACTAGCAATTCATGGAATGTATGGTGACACACAGGGGGTCAGACCATGATCTCAGGGGCTCTTCCGGTCTGAAACTCAAGGACTATTACACGCTTGTCCAGCTAAAGTCCTTGGAAGTGAACTCTATTTCCATTTTAATGTGAAACTATAAGACATACAGGCATCTGACAAAATTGGAAGGTAATAGAAGAGAACACTCATAATAATAAAAACCAGCTGCATGAAGAAAGATTTAAAGCAACAGTGCACACACTTAAAATAGTGTGCTAGACAATACTTCTATAAAATTAGTCAAGAAAAAATTGGAGTGTTTACAGGGAAGCAGAACTTTTTAGGGTTAACCGTGCTTCCGTCCAGACAGCAAGCGAGCAAGAGCGAGCGCACAGGCATACACACACTATGGTGCGTATACCTACAACACTGCAGCATGAAGGGTCATTTACAGGATCTGCACACACTGATACAGCTACAAGGAGCACACATTATAGTACTGGAGCACTGAATCAACTAACCCTCTCTGGCTCTTTTCCAGCCAAACCCCCACTCATTTACTTCCCTGCTTTTCAAGCACTGAAGCTGGATACACTGGAATGAGTCAAATCAGCAAACAAGGGTAGCAGCAGACTGCAAGCTTTGCTAATGAACAGAGAGAAAACTGCACAGACTCTGCTAATTACTTAAGTAAAATAATCAAAAGAATGGAAGAGAAAGGACAGCGAAAGAACACCACAACCTTATTTCTACATTCTTTTAAAGGTGGCAAGAATGATTCTTCTCCTCCATTCAAGAGTTGGAGAAAATACCTGGGTAAGAAATATCGTTTTCCCAAAATAGAAATTCTTAATCTTGGTGTTAGAAGAAACGTTAAGTGCTGAACAAAAGCACACACAGAGACAAGCTTTAGAAAAATTATAAAAGCAAAACCAAATTAACAACTTGCTTTCCAGAAAGTAGTGAAAAATTGTATCTTAAAACCCATCATGTGATGAAAAAGAAAATTGCAAAGGATCTTCCTGGATGCAAAGTGAAGTCTACTAAAATGCAAGAGAAAAAGGTAAGGCTTTCTTGACCTGAAAATTGTAACCCATCAAATCTTCTCAGTAACTGAGCAGTCGTTCAGCTTAATGCTGTGACAGCTGTTTTAGTCTCTGCTTGAAGGGGGAAATGTAAGTGTTAAGTCTTCAGCAGAGTCCAGAGAGATAAAGACAGAGAGAGACGGAAAGAGAGGGAGAGAAAAGGCTGTGCTTAATAAAAGCCCTGCTCAGATTATAAAAACAATCGGTTTACTCACCCCCTTCCCCCCCCCACCCACCCAGTAATGGGTAAATTTAGATGTATCAGTTCCATAAATCTTTATGGTCCCCTTGAGACTGTCACCAGTGTTTTATTGTCTACAGCTTCCTGACCCTCACCAACTGTAGACATTAAAACGGAAACCTCATACATCATTTCTGAAGATATTTTTGGGGTGACCCTCTGCAGAGAAATAGGATTCTTAATAAGGGGAAATATGGGAACTGCCGTCTGCCTACGCACACGCTGCTGGAGACCAGACACTCGGGAGAGGAGGAGTTGCATATACACAACGCGAGCATCTGCCTTTGCATCAGTTTGTACTTACAAAGAACAAATCTACGTACACTGTATCTAAAAAGGAACCATTTGGCATCCAAATTAATCTATCACTTTTTACTGCTGTAGAAAGAAGAAAAACCAAAAAAACCCCAAAGGAAGCTAATGCACTGCTTATCACTTCTATTGAATTGTCTCCTACAATCTCCTGAAACCTGAACCTCGCTATAAAGGGGAGACCAGACCACTGAACCTTACCAACCAGAGATGGACACAAGACAGGACTTTCATTTTTAAGACCTAATTACGCCCAGCAAGGCACAGGATAAAAAAATTGGATACCAGCTCAGACATGGTTACTGTATCTCAAAATAGCAGATGACCAGTTTACCATACTGACCATGCTGGCCTTTCTTCAGGACCATCCTGAACCAGAGACGAACAGTGAACTCTCACACCATACGCAATTCCTGCACAAAATACAGCTCCTGAATACATACTGCTGGACACAAAAATGTCCTATCCTTTACATTCCCTGAACGGGTCTGGAGTTGGCAATGGATCTTTGTCGCCTCTCTCAGTAACAGGAGAGCCCAAGGAGGACTACTCAGGTGACGAACAAGGAAACAAAGTGCGTTGGGCAGCTTTACTGATCCTCCTGGTGATAATCCCCACCATTGGGGGGAACATACTTGTCATATTGGCAGTGTCTCTGGAGAAAAAGTTGCAATATGCTACCAACTACTTTTTGACGTCCTTGGCGGTGGCAGATTTGCTTGTGGGTCTGTTTGTGATGCCGATTGCCCTTCTCATAATATTATTTGGTAAGTACAGCGTGTTTGTTTCATCAGGCTAGCATGAGAGGTTTAATTTGGGGAGGTCTAATTTAAACAGAAAAACGGTTTGCTTTCCACCATTCCAATTTTAAAAATCACTTGTATGAGGGCTGCTAAATCTTCTCTCCTTCTCACCTTAATATAGCTTAATGTCTTTATGGGAAGTATACCCACTGCAGATATTCATTCCTTTGAAACAGACCATTCAAAAATCACCTGAGACTTAGAACTGGTACTAAACTGGAGCTGGACATGGGAAATTACATTTTGTACAGTGTAACATTATTTTAACAACATCAGCACAATGTTGGTATCTGTTCTATTGGTTATTATGCTAATTGCAGGCAGTCTTCTCTTAAAAAAAGGTGAAAGAAAAACTTGGTATCTGTTCAGTACACTGACCAGGTTTTGAACTTACTAAGAGTCAGACACCTGATTTTACCTTAGTATTGACTCCAAGCTCCATGAACAGTCAGAGGTGGTCCCTGGCACTAGTGACAACAAACTTTCAGAGAAACTGATTTTCTCCCACCCTGGGGAAAGCAGCAGATTCATAAAGCATCCCAAAGAATTAACTCATCTGTCAAGCCAAGGGAGCCTCAATCCATGTGCCTAATGTTTGAGACTCAGATTTATCATTTAGTCTAGTTCATATGGAATAAAATAGATATTTTTACATGAACATATACTGTGTGCGACATTTTCTTTCTGGTTAAGTCCTTACAGAACAAGCATATTCCCTCATGCCCAGCTTTATTTCAGATATTGCTTTTGACAACTAATCAGAGGCAGCTCTGCAGGAAAGTCTCTTTTACTCCTGAAGTTTCTTTAAGAACACATTTTAAAGGGTCTACTTTTGTATCATACAAATGGGGAAAAAAATCAAGGAGACTGTTTTTTCAATACTTACGGATTTACACAATTATCTTTAAGGTATAGCTACCATTGGGCCCTGTATAGTGAAAGGCTGCAGTTCATTTTTCCTATGCTAGATCTTTAAGAGTTGCCCGAGCAACAAGCAAACACAATCATAAACTTTATTTCAGAAAGGCCATCAGTAGTTTTTGTTTGCTGCAGAAGACTGGTATCACTTTATTAACAAATGCGTTTATTCACTAAATGCCTTGAGACTTAATTTCTGTATATTACAGACTGCTTCTCCCTAAACAGAAGCATGAATTGGAAGTCAGAATTCAGTGTTGAGATCATAATATAGTCTTTTTCAAGCAACATTTTCTAAAAAGAATGAACATATGTGACCAGGACAGTGATTTCTAACTTGAAAAAACACTACAGTCACTTATAAAAAAAAAGTTGGTATGTCACATATGTGCACCTGTGTGTAAAGGGAAGAAACATATGTATATACATACTTACACACAAATACTGCAACTGCTTAGTTCCTGCCAAAGGCCACATTAATAATAAAAATGAAATTACTAACCATAAAAACTACTAGTATTGGAATAGCAATCAATACAAAGGGAAGCCAAGTTCTGGATTTTGTGGAGTTGTTTCTTGGTGGTGGTGGTGGTTTTTTGTTTTGGATTTTTAAATTTTTTTCATTTTACTAGACTAATAAATATTTTCTTTTTAACTTTACAAAGAGGCTATTGCTCCTTAATCTCTCCATTAATCCAGTGCTAAACCCTGGTTACAACAGTCAGGAATGCTAGGAATCTTAATTTCAAAGTCAAACAAAAGCATCTTTCATGTTGCAAGAAATTTACAAGAAAGTACCAAAATTAGTTATAATTAACTGAGATTGCAACCAGTCTTTCACATAGTAGTGGTTAAAACTGAAATTTCCTGCATGCAAGTCTCTCTCTGGCAGGCACCCAGAAAAACTGCTTTGCCTCTTCACTGACCGCGAGAAGATGCTGAGGTGTTTATAGATAAAGTTCAAAGCATGAGCAAAACATGAGGAGTTACTGGAATGAAGCTGGAACAGATATTTAAATATATAACAAGTCTAAATCTTGAAGCTACATTAGGCAGATAACTGCTTGAACATAGAATAATCATTGATAGCCAGAGAGACAATTAAATCCAGCCTCCTGGCATTTCCACACAGGAATGTTTGCATAACGATGAAATAGCTGGGTGCAGCTTCTAGATACAGAATACAAATATTATGCTTCCGATTTGGGACCGATATGTAATTATCTGGAGAATATTTGAGGGAAAAGGTGTGAACTAAGGTGCAGTCATATTAAATGATCCTGACTGTAAAAACTGATGTGTCACAGAGCGTTCAAAGTTAAAAACCTACCACAGATACTGGCTCCATGCCCTGATGGTATGCTTACACAAAAATCTTCAGAAGTAGACTGTTTATGTAATAAAGAGCTGCCCCTTTTTTTAAACAAATAAATAAATCAATAAATCTGTAACTCGCAGGTATAATACCACAAGCAGATTATTTATTCTCAGCAGAGCGACCAAAATGTACTCTAGTATAAATATACACTGCAGTTTTCATTTAGGAGCGCTAGTGTGAGAATATACAAACAAGTAATTGCTTTTATGGCTTGCTAAATTCTTGTCATTTCTTCCAAAAAACAGGAGGGCACGTTAGCAAATAATTGCATTCTCTGAAATCTAGCTTTCAAAAGAGTCATCCAAATTTCTAACACTCAAATACTGAAGGAAAGCAAAAATGTTGCTGTTCAGCAGATAGTGAGATTAGCAAATAAACTTAAGAGAGATCCCTGCATTTGCAAAGCCTGCAGCAGGAAGAAGTCTGTTGTCCACGGCTTGGTGGGCAAGCACTTACTTCCAGACAGTGCATGTACCATCTTTTAAAATATATTCTCTATCCCTGATATTCATCCACATAAAATCAGAAAGTAATGCTGATTGTCCTAGGCTGCAAACCATTATTTTTAAAATCTATCATATGCAATTGCAGTCTTAATCTTCCCCCATCACTGATTACGAACCACAGCAAATCTTCCCTTCTTGCTTGTGAAAACTACCAGAGAAAACTGCTTTAATTGAGGGCTACTTTCCAAAAATCTCAAAATCTAGAACAAAGGTTTATTCCTTGCAAAGCAACTTTAATTAAAAAAAAAAAAAAATTCCTTTTGCTAAATTAAAAAAACCTACATGGCAGCATACAACTACTGTTGAAACTATAATTGTAGCAGGGAAATAAAGGCATGCAGCCACAGGAGTGAAACAGCAAGCCAGCAGCCTGGAAACGCCAGGTCTGGGCAGTCCATGAAGCTGGACACCACACACGCAGGCTACAGACACACACACACCAGTCTGAAGATTGAAACCTCAGCTGAAGTCAGCCAGTGATTAAAAATACCCAATTTCCATCTCAGTAAAAGCACCATTATCTAAGAGCAACAAAATTCTTTACGGGCAACACATTTCAGCAGCCCTTATAGCACAAGAACAAATGGTTTCCAAACCTATTTAAAGATCTCTCTCAATCATGCTTACACATGTACACAAGCAGTACTTTCTCCCAAGCTTTCAAAAAACTTTTTGGTTTACAGCAAGAGCAGCTCTTCTATACTGTACTTTGTTTTAAAGACTACACAATTCCAAGGTATTTCCTATAAATAAAGCTTTTCTTAAATAAACACTAATCAAGGGTAGACAGTTGTGGTAAAAGCTCATCTTGCTTCTCTTGGGGTGCAAGACAAACCTTAAAACATGTATTTTATCTTGTATTCACTCAAAATAAGGAAAACAATCTGCAACAGCAGCACTACTGCAGTGCTGGGAAGATCCGAGGCAAGGTTTGTAGGAAGGAGGAATACCTTTTTATCTTATACCACCTGACAGCTGGAGAAACCAGACAAGTTTTCAGGCAGGCACGTTTGTCATGTAACCTAGGCATTTAAAAAAGAAAAATTAAAAATCCAATCTGCTAGCTTGTTTAAATCAGCATTTTAACTCCCAAGGGAAAAAACGGTGGGCAATCTCAGTCATCCCGGTAAATGCTCTGGTCTGCTCCACCGATGTGGATCTACACTGGGATAATCAGATCTTGTAACCATCCAAACTAAGCATGATCGACTAATGGGTTTGTATTACCGCTTGGCAGAACACACTCATTTTACCTTCAGTCCGAATTATAAAGCAGGACAACAAACCAGCAGGTCACCATCAGGTTCAAGGGCCAGAGATGCTTTCTGACTCCTGAGGGGAAATACTCCATTTTTCTGTACTCACAAACCAACAGAATACACACCACCACTACCACCAGGAAAGCACAAAATCTCAGCCCAGAGCAGTCCCTCAAACACTAGGCACAGAGCTTCTAACACAGGTGTAACCAACAAATCAAAATAAGTAAAAGCAAAATGCACCACAGTATGAAGCCTATACAACTACACAACTCTTCTGTAAAGTATCAGTTTCACAATATTTGTTTTGTTTAAATAATAACCATATTCTTCAATTCTTATCAGCTACTGCATTTAAACTCTACTCTGATTTTGTTTGGATAAAAAACTTCACCTCACATACACAAATATAATAGTACATAACACCATAATCATGAATGTGATAACTTACTGCCTTCTGCAGCCAGTTCAAAATAAGACAAAAATAAAGACAAAGCTTCCTCCATTCAGTTGCACTCATCAACTAACAAAACCTCTTACAACTCAAAAATATACAAGGTTGCTTTGCATCAAATAGCTGTTTAAATGCATTGAAAGAGCTTTTTGTTGCAAAATATCTGAGGATTTTCTTCTGCAAACAGTAAATTAACTACAAAAGGGAAGAATTTATCACACTGCAATTCTCCAGAAAGCAAAGAAGTTATAATCCAGAGAGCAGCACGTAAATACTCTCAAAAGACTTGAAATCCAGCGGTGTTACCTGCCAAGCTTCAGAATGTAGAATACACTTTCTGTTGTTCATGTTTTAGCTGAACTAAATCCTTCATCACAGAGTCAAAAGAAGTGGTCTTATTCTTCTGAAGCAAACAAAAATATTTAAAGCCCATCAAGTAAATTATTTCTTTTAACCGTATTTTTTTCTCAGTTCCCCCCCCAGCTGGTTCCATGAGCCGCAAGCTTCATAATATACTAATTACAACTTTCTCATACCTGCCTGACAGAGTAATTTTTTGAAGCATATTTTCAATCATGACATCTATTTTAGGAAATATGCAGCTGGATACTAAAATTTGCTGGTTAATGATCTGAAAAGAGACCCCCTCTTTTCCTTCTGCCTCACAGCCTGTATCATCCTCACCTGGGGTCCACTGCTTTGGGGATAGGTGAGGTTCAGTTCAGGCCTCCATCCATCTGTTCTCTTTAACAGGGGAGGTTTCCCAACACAGGTAAGAGTGCAGACAAGTACGTACTATGTCTGACTTTACAAAATTTTCCATCCTCTGGAGTTTATAATTCAAGTCAAGGCAGCACCGTTATCATTTCCACCTACCATTCACATTATGAAAAAAAAGTTTTTATCTCAAACTACTGCAACATTACTACATTGATAAGACTGGGCATTACAACAGTCCAGCTCGTCTGGGATTCTCAGCACGCAGATCTATTTATTGAGAGCAACGAGATTAAAACCATTCTGATTTGTTAGAAATGTCTTCCCCCCCACCCCCTCAATCATCATTCAATGAAGAACTGATTTTTCTGGCAATACTATTAATGTGCCTACTGATTGAGTGCATCTGAATTTTATACGGAAGAATATGTTTAGTACATCAGCTTCTACCATTAGAAACAGAAAAACAAAAAAAATGTTCACACATTCTTCCCTAGGACTACAGAACATTCTTACAGACACACAACACTAAGATGAATCTCAAACTGAACACTGCTAGCACTGGATGACAATATAAACTACTTGTGAGTGAAAATAAAGCAGTTAAGAGAAAAAATAATCGGAGTTTCATTAAAGTTCATTTGGTTTGGTATTGTAAACGTTAATAGGGGACACACAGATCACAAAAATACGAGCCTTTTTGAAGAGCTGAACATTACAAAACTTTTATCTTGGCTACAATGCGGTTGACAGACCCCATGTTCGCTATAAAGACTAGCATTAGGACAGATAACTAATGTAAGAAACAGGATGCCAGACTTAAAATCCAAGCCATTGCTCTTGGGGCAGAGGGAAATTAAGACGCACATGAAAGCCCTTTAATTTTTTAGTGCTCAACTGCATCTGGCCAAGTGACAGAGTAAACTCATTTTAAAACTGTCTAGATTCTTCAAGACCACCACCAAGATTCATCTGTGGTTCTGCCCCATTATCTCCTCCATTTAATACAACCTTGAATCACAGGACTATCAAGGAGACATAGCTGCAAAAAATCATTTAACAGCAGGGCACAAGGACCAAGCACAGTCATGGCCCATTTTTAGGTATCTTTTTTTATCCAGAGCTCTTGCCACAAAGAGCTTATGATCTAAAAAGGACAAAAAAACAGAGAAAGATTTATAACACACAAACAGCCTCATCAGTAGAATGGCAACAACCATGCCAGTTAGGAGCTAACTAAAATGTAAGACAGAATCCAGCTGAAGCAGTGGAAAAGCTTGGTTCCTGTAGTATTACAAACTTCTCAAAGGTACTGATGCCAGGGGAAAACCACACACTGAAAACTCTCAAAAAGCTTAGATTCTAACGAGTTTTCTGTTCTCTTTCAGACAATGCCTGGCCTTTTCCAGCTGCCTTGTGTCCTATCTGGCTGTTCCTTGACGTCCTCTTTTCCACAGCTTCCATCATGCACCTCTGCGCCATCTCACTAGACCGCTATATTGCGATTAAAAAGCCAATCCAGGCTAGTCAGTACAATTCATGGGCTACAACAATCATCAAAATCATCGTGGTTTGGCTCATTTCAATAGGTATGTGAGACACTGAGACTGTAAAAGGAATGCAGAAGCTTTTCATGTCCAAAACATTAGGTGAAAGCTGAGCAAAATGAAAAATCTGGCCAAGTACTATTGGTTAGCAGACCCTAACACCTGGGCTGGTCTAAGTCCACCTCTTGGATCATACATAACTACATAATAAAAATCTGCCTGAACTGCCGGTCCTTATCAGGCTTACCAGAAAGGGCAAAGATTGAGTCGGGATAATCATCACTCTTCTTCATGGTCCTAAAACTCCAAAAATCAGAAGACAACATCTGCATGCATAGCATGTCCCCTGGGTAAAGCAAGATTTCATGTTCCTGTGGTGGTATAGTCTGTCCCAAACACAATTTTAAGCTGCTAAAATCTGTGCCTTACAATTGACCCATGAAGCATGTAAAAAAAGGTTAATTACTTACATCAAAAATTTAAAGGTGAGTGGCTGGTAACATTCACACTGAAAACTGAGATGCACTGGCCATATAGAAAAGCTAATTTCCAAACAAAAAAAACCAACCCCAAACTCTGATCAGTTTTAATAAAGGATGCCAATGTATAAACTTTTATACTAGCACCTCTGTGGTATGCAGGAGGCACCTCACCTGTCTTTAATGCTTTAAAAAAAATGTGTTAAATGAGCTAAGGAGGTGAAAACATTTAATTCAAATAACTTAAGGTGTGCTACAGGCAGCCATAGGCATAGTGATGTATGCCCTGTGTACAAGAGAAAGAACAAAATTATTCTAGATTACTAAGGCCAACAACGCATAGGAGAATGGGCACATCCAACTTCTTGGCCAAGGCACACATGCCTAAACCCAAAAATTCCAACCTGAAAAAAATTCTAGAAGTGATGTGATAGGAGAAAAGATGCTATCTCTATTTTATCACAAAGGAAACTATTAGCATGACAAGACACTTACAAGTTGACCTTTTAATGCCCGATTTATTGTTATTAATCAGTGCTGTACTTTTTTCTTTTTTTTTTTTATCTAACACAAGTACTCTGCAGCTGAGCCAGGGTTCTTCAAATCAAAGGTTAATTTGGTTCAATCCTCATTTTAAATGTTTGCCATATCTGAAGGTGTACCCCTTATTAAGAAAGGGATCAAGTGGCTGAAGGGTAAACCGTTTTGCCCTTGCTGCTTCAACCAACTTCAACCAACTTCAGTAAGCAGAGTAGCAGAAGAATACAGTAAATCCCTAGATCTCATTAAGTGGTATCAGGAAACACAGCACAAATAACCTTCACCAGACAGCAAGGAACCTGTTGTTTTTGTTGTCATGTCAGACTGCCGGCAAATGAAGTGCTGACTGTAACGTAGTGGTTATAAAAAATTCATTTAGAAGACAAGACTGTGAACATTTTTTTAAACGAGTGGTGAATTACAGAGCTAGCCAGCCTCATTTAAACACTCTTAAATATGCAAGAGACTTTAAACAACAAATCCATCTCAAACACATTGCACAATTCTGGCATCTATTTAACTACTTGTATATATGAGAGCATGAAGCAGGCTGAAAAAAATCAGCTGTATCCAGTCACTTGATGTGGTTAAGTTAAGAGGGAAAGATCCTTTTTATGTATTTACAGAACCACTCTCCAAAAAGTGCAAAGGTTACCCCAGAGGAAAAAAAAAAAGAAAAAGCAGATGGCATTAGGGAAACACATTTCACTGGAGGAAAAGTCATACTAATTCTAACAAGTAGAGTCAAAGCAATTCATGTGTTCTACACTTGAGAAGTTGGCAACTTTATACTGCTTCCTCAATCACTAAGGGTTAGGCCCAGTCTCCTTAGAAAGGGCACTCCGTTAAAGCTGAGCTTGCCAAGTCTCACAAAGTACTATTTGCCCAATTACCCACGTGATGCCTTCAACAATTCATGTTCTCTCCATCACACTGTGCCTGTTCCAGAGCTCAGGAACTATTTTTCTTTAGAGACCCTGAGGCTTCAGGCCCCAAAAAAGGAGATGGCAAGTGATTACCATATGCTGAAGTACCTGGTTTTTCTCCTGTAGGCATTGCTATTCCGATCCCTATCAGAGGCATTGAAGATGGAAATGGCAACTTTACAAACATCACGTGTGTCCTGATGCCTGATCGTTTTCATGACTTCATTCTGTACGGATCAGTGGCTGCGTTCTTCATTCCCCTCACTATCATGATAGTCACTTATTTTCTAACAATCAAAGTGCTACGCAAGAAGGCCTATTTGATCAACAAGCCACCTCCACGTTTCACTTGGTCAACGGTGTCCACAGTATTTCAGCGTGACACAACACCTGCCTCCTCACCAGAAAAGGTGGCCATGTTAAACGGCTCCAGAAAGGATGATATGCCAATGTGCAGAACGTCTATGATTGGGAGGAAGTCCATGCAAACGATAACCAACGAACAAAGGGCGTCAAAAGTTTTGGGGATCGTATTTTTTCTTTTCTTGTTGATGTGGTGCCCATTTTTCATAACAAACGTAAGTTCGGTTCTGTGCAACTCCTGCAACAAGAAGGTTTTTCAAAAGCTTATGGAGATATTTGTTTGGATAGGATATGTATCCTCAGGAGTGAACCCTCTTGTCTATACACTCTTCAACAAAACATTTAGGGAGGCTTTCAGCAGGTATATCACTTGCAACTATTGGACATCAAAGCCTATCAAGGCCCTTCGGAAGCGCTCCAGCAGGATCTGTTTCAGAAGCTCTGTGGCAGAAAATTCCAAGCTTTTTGTCATGCATGGGATGAGAAATGGGATTAACCCCATTATGTACCAGAGCCCAATGAGGCTGAGGAGCTCACCCATACAAGCATCATCGGCCATTCTGTTGGATACATTGCTGCTCACAGAGAATGAAGTTGATAAAACAGAAGAACAAGTCAGCTATGTATAGTGGAATGGCAACCATGTCTATACCATAGTATTACTGTATGTATTATTCTAGGTAACTGTGCTATGAGAGGGTATAAATACTATTGTTTTCTGTTATTTATGCAAGCAATATCTTACAAATTTATATCAATTCCTCTTCTCCAAAGTCTCCTCTACTTTAACCCCAACCCCATGGTGGCAACCACAGTTTCATTCCATGATAAATGACTAATGCAGAACTGTAGCCTACAGGAAGAGGGAAATAAATAAAAGCTAAATCAGTTTGAGTATTTGACTTCAGTTATCATCTTCAGTCTCTTCAAAGTACATTTTTATAAGAAAAGCATCTCTGTACAAACACTACTTTAACATTCACTCTGGCAAGAAGACAGAACACTATAGGTTGATGCTCTATGAATAAAGTAGCAGGGGGATACAAGCTTGCTGATAATCTACCTGATAAAGGTAGGTTAAAATCTACCTTTACTCTGTGTAAACAAAAGAGCACACAAGCTCACTGAATTGCCTCCTACAGATACAGGGTGAGAAAAAACTCCATGTGCAGAAATTATCCCTTTGTGGTTTTACTATAGGCGTCGGCAGAATCTCTTACTCACCTGAATTTCATCTCTGTTACTCTCATACACACATAAACCCGGTATTGTCAGATTTGTCACAGAAAACTGTCCTTTCTTTGTTCATGCTAAGAAAATGAGAGCATTTAACCAAAATGGGACAATACAACATCAATGATGATGAATAAAATTGGACAGGCAGTACCTGGAACATCCCTTTAATTTATATGAACAAACTTCCTTTTTTATGACCACTGGAACTTCAGTGAAAGCCTTCCCTCATCCAATATAGTTCACACAAAGTAGAAAAATCACAGATAGAATAGCTATTTCATTTGAAAATAAGAGCGAGTGTTTAAGAGGCAGCAGAGACAAATAGTACTGCACACATTCTACTGCACTGCATAGTCTAGACCTGCACACATTCAGTTTAGTATAGCTCACAATAACTTCATTGGACTAATGGCATAAGATTACAGGTCCCAATCTACACTCTCTCTAACATGCTCAAGCCTCCCATGAAAGCACAAAATTCATAGAAAGACTCACTCCTCGCAATCTGTAAAAGCTACCAGAGTCTATCATTTGGGAAATCAGGAGCTTCTGACAGTTCCAGACCATGTCTCTGAGACAGGAAATTGGATTTCCCCAAAGTACTGGAGTTCTTACAGTAAGCAGCCACCTCACCATTTTTTTCAATAGTTTCCACTTACAGTAAAATTTTCAGCTCATGCTTTGTTTTCATTTTTAATGTTTTTAGAACTCTAGTTACATACTAAAATTATGTACAGCAAAAGGCTTAGGCTTTTTCAACTGCAGAACAGAAAGTACTAAAGATAACGTGTCCTTCCAACATTTATTTATATATATTTAATTTAAAACATATGCAAGTTCAAAACAGAGTCTAAGGTAACAACTGCCAGAGACTTCCAGTAGAAAGAAAATACTTCTGTGGTACTTACAGTAATTTGTCTCCTTCCTCCCCTTTTTGGTGATAGTCACTAGCCACTTAAGTTAGAATAAGCTCTAACTGCTCTTACTCCTCTTTCATTAATCAAAATTTTTTTAAAAGGATCCTGTAGTTAAAAGCAGAATTGATGGATTGCTATAGCAATAAAGGTGCCTACATCTAAAAATATTTGAGAATCAAAAGCCTTTAATAGGACCTAGAATACTTTGAAGTTTAGGTGGGGAGGGAGTAGGAATAAAACAAACCCCAAAACTTCCAGGCACGTAGCTGAAAACATCACAGACTAGTGTCTCATTTAATCTAAAGCAGGCACCCTGGAACCAGGTAAAAGGGCAATCACATCCACGCACAGAGTGATCACAGCAAAAAAATTAAAAGCATCATTTGCAATGCAGGAACCAGCCTTCATGAAGAATACCAACCAAGAGGCAACTGGGCACAGCACCCTTCCTGAGGGGTTATTTCCCAGCAGCCAGAGAGTATAAGAAGCAGTCATCTTTGAAAACTCTCTTGCTACTTAAATAAATCCATGCCAATTAAACAAAACATGGTTCATACAGCAGGGAGCAATCATCTACTTTCAGCAACAACTTAAATTTTCCCTTTCCAGCAGGAACATCACAGCTGGCTCACAGCATCTGGGAAGAGCAAGAGGTAACTTAGTTCTCTTCCATCTGATCCTGTTTTTGTACAGCTGTCAGTCTGCAATGAGCAATGACACGAGGAGTAATTTGCCCTAGGTGTCCCACAGAGACTGGTTCCAAGGCCTCTTCATAATCAGTGGTTAGACTCCACCAATAGGAAACAATTCTTGAAAAAGTCTCACCCAGCAAAGATGTATTTTGTCAAGCCAGCATATAGATTTTTCAATTTTAGTAACCATAAATAGAAGCTCAACATGTTCCAGTTATGGAATTTAGTCAGCAATAACAAACCTCAATCAAAAGGACTAGTGACTAATCAAAAAGCCAGTCTTCCTACACAGAAAGTAAATTTCTCCATAGGCAGAAACACACAATTAAGAAAACATGCATGTTCCATTTAATACACTAAGTGTAAAAAGAAATTGCTGTCTACTGACAAAGCAAACAAAGAATTCAGGTAACAGTCTTGGAAAGCACAAGGGCAAAGGGAGAAGAAAGACGAAGACAAGATGCAGATCTGTGAAATAAAAAGACAACATAACAGACAGCAAAGATCATGTTTTAGCAACTGTATCTACAAGAACAGACTTGAACAAAGACATTATCTTCATTAGCACGACTTGATTGAAAATAAGAATCACTGCAAGCTACTGTAAGAAAGCACAAGTTTGTTGTATGGTAGCTAAGGACAACACTGCTCATGTGGCATTGACAAGCGAGAGAGGAGGCTCAGGACTACATCCATGAGCATCATCTTTAAGTAACACAAATATATAAAGTATATTTTTACATGCTGGCTGTGAAGTGTGGCTATTTTTATAGCTTCCAGCTTCATTCATAGAGATAACAACCTAAATAATAATTGATAAAAGGTTTGCAGTCACTTGCTAGCAGAATACAAGACCTTTTTGTAGGAGAAAGGTGTCATGCACTTCCCATTTAACAAAAAAGAGAGACATTCCTTCCTCTGGAGTGAAATGCTCTCAATTCTTTCAGAATCTGGCCCATGCCAAACCAACCACCAGGCCAGCTCTATGGCCTCTATATACTACGTAAAATAGTAACTTACACAGTTACCTAGTTCAGCTTTCCTCATTATCACAGAAACTTTTATCTGGCATATTTAATTTCTTTTTAAACTATTAGAGAAGGCAGAAAAAAGTCAAAGCTGATCTGCAACATACAAGCATTATGGGAAGAAATATATTTTAGAAGAACAATGGACAACATTGTTGTTGTTTAATTATTTAAAATACATTAGGAGATACTTAGTCAATGTTCTGGCTGCCTATCTAATTAAGAATTACAGCACAGACATGGACAGAAGGACTACCTACACACAGCAGTCTTGCAGAGGGGAAAATAATGGAGACTGAAGCCTAACAGAATGAGCTTTGAAATGCAAATAAAGGGAATACCTTAAAAAAACCCAAACAAAACAACAACAAAAAAACCAAACAGTCAAAACCAAGCAAAACACAAACAAACAAAATCCTTTAAGCCACCCTAAAAAATAGAGAAGCAAGGAATTCAGCTAATCTCAACTGCGGTGATACAAAACAGGTTTTGTGAAGCCAGTCCCAAACCATCTGGCATTCTATAAGCTGCAAGCCTTCAGTTCAGATTCTGTCCAAAAACTTCCAGGCAGCCTGAAATATTTATTCATCACATCTTGTATTCTCCAAGAGTAAAACTCTTCCTAACCACATCACACCTGGCCATACTAGTAGCAACTTTCAAATGCATCAAAATAGAATTAAAAAATCCAGTGTTAAGCAGAAGTCAAAGCACCGAGAGGTTGATACTGTAAAGCTGTTTACTAGCATACAAAGAGGCACACTGATTTCTTACGGTGCTTCATAGAAAAATGTCATTTTCCTACACCATTTTCTTATTGTGGAAAAATCCACAGCACTGCGAACTGGTATGAGAAAGCAAATGGATTACTCTGTGAATCCTTCTAGGCTGTCATATGTAACATCAGCCTTAAAAGGTAAAGTAATGCAAGGACAGTAAACCTGGTAAAGGCATACTGAACAACCTGGGGCAGTGGAGCCCAGAGAGGCAGGACACTCGCCAGACCTCTTCTGGCTCTTTGCCTTGCAAGCTAGAGCCAGGAGACCCAGAGTTTTGGCCAGTTCGCAGAACGGATTTAATATTACCTTGCAGCACTAGATTTCTCTCATCATATTGATAAAGATGCCTATGTACAACTGCTAAGTTGTTTGTCCTTTGTTTCACTTCCCCTTTGGCTTTCTAGGTAACCACCAACATGGCAAAAGCAACAGTCAGGAGTGAAGTAACTTCCATATTTTTGCTTTGGCATTTTACACTGTGGTGTTTACTGTCAGCGTCCATTCCTGTGAGACATGCTGTTTTCTCCAGTTGCAAAGAAAGGGTTTTGCCCTGCAGAACAGGAAAGGAAGCTTTTTCATTTTTAAATGGGAAGCTAGTTACAAAAACAGGAAAGATGGCTTGCTGAGGTGTCCATTTTTACTCTTATTTTTAATAATTAATGTCAAACCCTATTTGTCTAGCCACATCTAAAATTCCTTGCATCCATGTATTGAGGCCCTTTCCAACCTCTGAAAAACATCATCATGTTCTTAAAAATGAAGAGTTTCTGGCTCTCTGAAGGATCCTCTTTATGAATGCTCTAGACAGCAACTCATTTTCAAATTCATTAAACCCTGCACAACAAATGAGCCTTTTATTCTGCAAGATGCACATCAATATTCCATAATAAAATCCAACAGGAAGTTTTTGCCATAAAAAAAATTAATCAACTTCATTTAATGGCTCAAAGAAACTCAGCATTTTTGATAACTTAATTTGAAGCTTCAGTTGCTGAACGGTAGTTTTAAAGCAAATTCAAGGATAGACAAGCAATTCAGTCATAAATCGCACTCCTTAAAATGTTTAGTTAAAAAGCCTTAATGTGTATAATCTGAGAAACCGAAAGTATTTTTCTGGAATTAGAGGTTTGGGGGAGAACATACTAGACTGGTTTCTCTTCCTCTTCTCATGCATGCTGTGTTCAGCAATCTGAAAAATTTGTATATATATAAGCTTATAGGCTTATTAT